TACTTGAGAAAGAAGTGACTGGCCAGGAAAGCAACCAAAGTAACGGTTATGCATCATTGATCGGATCATTGATGTATTTGGTGGTAGCCACACATCCGGACATAGCATATGCTATACAGAGACTTAGCTCATTCACTGCAAACCCAGGATTAGCACATTGGGTAGCAGCAAAACATGTTTTAAGATACTTAGCTGGAACACAAGAGCTTGGAATCAAGTATCAAGGTACCAGAGAACTCGACAAAAGCAAAATTTGATTTGTTGGATGGTCGGACACTGATTATGTGAACAACCCAAGAGATCGGATATCCATATCAGGATATGTCTTTAAACTTGGAGGTGAAGCAATCACCTGGAGCTCAAAAAAGCAAAATGCAGTTTCTCTTTCATCAATGGAAGCAGAATATGCTATGATGGCTCACGCTGCACATGAAGCCATATGGCTCTGAAATTTATTCAAGGAACTAAACTTACCTCAGAATGATCCAACCATTCTTCACAGAGACAATATGTCCTCACTCGCAATTGCGCGAGACCCACAATATCACGCGAGGTCCAAACACTTTGATGTAAAGGACCACTACATCAGGCAGAAGATCCAAGATTGGGTGATTCATAATCAGTACTGCCGCACTGATGAAATGATCGCAGACATATTGACGAAGCCGCTACACAAGCCAAAACATTGTAAATTTACCAATGATCTAGGCATGGCCTCGGCTTGAGGGGGAGTGTTGAGGCTTACAAGCCAAGAACACATACTTACAAAGCACAGGTAACAGACTTGTTCTGAGTTTTGGAGTAAACATATGATATATAATGTATCTAGGAGATTTCCGTAAAAATCATCATATTCCGATCTCCTATTACTCGTGTTCTGCTTCTATCAAAACACGTGTCTAGTTCTAAACTTATAGCCTTAATCACATAAGATAGAATGTCTTAGCACACTATTTATATGTTTTTTGAGTATATAAGAGTCTATTCCACCGCTTGTTTGGCCCTCTAAAGGTCCCTGCAGCACCAGATGTAGTATGCACACTGTTAAGACCATGCTCAGGGGTAAGATGGAGTCTGAGGGACTTAGCTTCAGCTTGTGCACTGCGCCCCTTACCCAAGTACATGCCCCTAATTTTGGATTGTAGTCCAACTCAAGTTCTACGAGCTCCGACAGAACATCGGAGCAGAGGTCCTCCAAAGGGGGACTGATGGACTACTGGATGAGCGCAGGAATGTTGGGCAGAGATTGGTCCGCCCTACAGGGGAGAGTTGGAGGACTACTGCAGTCGGAGCTAGCAGTAGGAGCAGAGCAGAGGAGACTGCTTGGACGAAGTCTGAAGCAGAATGGGAACACGGAGGACAGAAATACAGGAGTATTGGTCGCAAGTCCGATGCATGGGAAAGGTGGCTGAGGCACGGGAAGTCGGATGAGCAGAGGAGGCAGCCGACCTAGGGAGTCAATCCCCTAGGCCGGCAGACAGGAGTTGCCAAGGGTTTGCCCAAGAGCAAGGACAAGAGAGCAGGGCTTAGAAAAGGTAATATTCAGACTAAAGATCTACAGACAGATGTACATATGCTTATTACTCTAAGTAAGTAGCATAGCATAGCAAAAGGCTATATGCTGAGTGTACAGAGTTACTAGAAAGATGACTGAGACATATGAGAAAGAGGCTTGGAGAATAGTATGTACACATGTTGTATACTGGATCCAAGCACCTCCAATACCACCTGTGAACATCCCTACCACTAGTCCGACCCCCTGTTTCCCCATCTGCTCCATCCCTCCTTCTCCGACAATGCATGAAGTGCATCTCAGCAGGACCAGCCCTGCTACCTCCGCCCAACTCTATTCCACTTCTCCAACACTACCCCTATTTTCTCCAACACTATATCCCATACCTCTGGATCCGGAAGTCTGGATTCTCCCCTATGAAAGTCTGGTTCTCTGTCCTGTTGTCCACCCAGTGCTCTGCTTTCATCTCCGGACTTACACCTGTCTCCTTTAAGAATACTGCTCTCTGGCTACCAGTTGTACACCTTTCTGCTTTGCTTACTGATCTGTCCATTTGCACTTCATTTCCGACCTCATTTCCTTGATCCGTTGTACACTTACTAATAGACCCTCCACATGCTTCAGACATAGCTTTTACTGTGCTGACTGATTACTTACATGATACCTACAGTATATAAACTCCTGTAAAACTCAGGAACTCCTCAGTTCGAATATCATCTTAGTTCTGCTCATTCCTGCTTCTCCGGACTTGAGTCTAACCTCTTGTCTACCTCCAAGTCTTAGGGTTAAAACCTTAGGACTAAACCTCTGGCTCTACCTTAGGGTAGTCTAAACTCTGTTCTGTTTCTACTCCAGACCTGTCCGCAGTAGCCTTACTCTGTTCTCTCCTAGCCTTCCGGATTGCCGAACTCCCCCCACGTCTGACCTCCAGACTTCCCCTCTGCCTCTCGGAAATTAAAGGGCATGTACTCAGGTAAGGGGCACAGCACACGAGCTGAAGCCGAAGCCCTTTGAGTGACCTTCCCCTTGAGCACAACCTTAACAACACAACAGATCAATGATCACTCGGGTATAGGGATTACAAGTGATCCAAAAGGAGGAACCATGATACCAAAAGGAGGTAGGACCAGTTGAGTGGTTCCTAGTCTAGAAGCGGACCAGTCAGGCAGTCAGGTGGACTGATACAAGAGAAACTGGAGGAACCAAGTGGGTTGGAAAAGCGGAGATGGTGGAAGGAGTAGGAGTAGGATCGGGCAGACCGATATGGCAGAGGAGTGAAGCTCCAGATAGGGTTGGATGGTAGGGATATGGTGTCGGAGGAAATAGGGGTAGTGTCAGAGGAGCAGAGCAGAGTCGGGCAGAGGTAGCAGGGCTAGTCCTGCTGAGATGCACTTTGTGCATTGTCAGAGATGGAGCGGAGAGGGAAACAGGGGGTCGTACCAGCAGTAGGGATGTTCACAGGTGGTATTGGAGGTGCTCAGATCTGGTATATGACACACACAAAAATAACAAATAGCTTCGCATTTTTTCTGTTTTAACTATATGGACTTGAAAATATGATCCCCGGTGACCTTTAAATAGTGTATACCATATATGAGCAGCATAAGATCACAGGTTCAGTCCCTGGGGTGCTGCACTGTACAACTTTGTGGGGGAGTAATGCTGTAATTACAATATACATAAATGCATTATCTCATGATAACTACAAGAGCCAGATAGGCAACTGCACAGGTATGGGTAACCTGTACAGGTTTGGGGTGCAGGTATCACCCGGGTATAGGTAAGGGTCCAACACCTGCATACCTGTACCCGTACCCATACTGTGAGTCATTTGGGGCCCCACAATGACAGGAGTAGCTGAGGGATTCGTAGAAGCTGGTCCTAAAGGAGCAGAGGAAGAGGTGGCTACAGAATTATCTGACACGGTAGAAGGGGCAGCAGCAGAGGTCATGATTTGTGTGTCAGAAAAATTGGACTAAAACTGTAGGGCGTCACACAAATGGGGAGCATCAGTAAACTACTAAACCTTGCACAGTGTTTGCCAATTTTCACAGCTCTCACAGCACCACAGAACCTCACAGAACTTGGTAATGCTGATGTAAGTCATTGTTCAACTTGTTGAAATTTTCAGAAGTCTTTGTTCTACACTTCGACTCTTAACTTCTACCTGCACCACTGCCATCCTTCAAGTAAGTCTTTTAATTTCTTTATTTTCTTATTACTGCTTGCTTATATTTACCTTAACCACCCTCTCCCACCCTCTCAGCACAGTTGGCAGACTCGACACTAACTACTTCGACCTTAGTTGATCCGTTCCCCAGCACTGATGGGCCTCGTGCCCTCTCCTTGTGCTGTCTCTCATGCTTGTATGCCCCGTCTCTCACCTCGTCTCTCGTGTTCCTGTGCCCCATTTCTTGCCTGTCTCTCATGCCCCATCTCTCACTCGTCTCTCATGCCCCATCTCGCCCATTCTCATGCCCCATCTCTCGCCCCATCTCTCTTGCCTGTCTCTCGTGCCCTGTCATGCCCCGTCTCTTGCCCATCTTTCTTGCCACTCAAAGGTGTGTTTTTTATGTATGTATGTATGTATGTATGTATGTATGTATGTATGTATGTATGTATGTATATATGTATATACATTACTTACTAGTATTTTCATGCTTGTTTGTGTTTGCGCTTGTTCATTCGCGGCGCATGCAATAGGTGCATTTTTTCATTTTCATTTATATATACATTACTAACAACTTGTCTTTATGACAGTGCTATCACAACAATGATGGCAACTCAATGACACAACACGACAACAACATGACTATGATGACGACCCATTCTCTCACACTCTCGCACTTTGATTATCTCACATCCTTACTCACTGTTTGTATTGATGAGTCCAGTAGAGTAGTTGCTTCTTTTGCAATCCATTTGTTTACATTTAATTTTACATGTTTGACTTGAGTTAATACAAAAATGAAAAAAGCGATTTCTAATATGTTTGGGAAGGTTCTGTGTAACTAGAGGGCTACTGTGGAGCTCTGGGAAGCTCTGTACAGAGCTGTACAGAGATGTGGCATTGCCATGATCGAGGATAGAGATTGAGGCAGAAAGAATAGACGAAGCCAAGAACTAGGTGCCTAAGCCAATGTTCGTGGTTCTGACTTAGAATGACTCGAGTGTCTTAGAAGTATTTGATTTCTCTTTATCACAGGCTCTTCACATGCTACTAGTATTTAAACCCTACTTGTACTGTAAAGATCCCTTAGTTCTTCTCCAATCGAATCAGACTGGTATCTGGTGACTTTGTGATAAGGATTCTATTCTATTCTATTCTATTCCATTCCTTGTGACGACACATCAAGTCTTATCAACTTTGACTGCCGTCAAATATTTTTTCACCTTCAACCAAGTCTTAGCTTATCTTTAAAACCTTCTCTTGTCACCTTGTCAACTGGTCTGGCCCACCACGTTAATCAACAGTGACTACTCCAATATGTCTTCAAAACCCCAACAAACTACGTATAACACCCGCTTGCACACTCGCGCTAGAGCCAGCTCAGTTTCTATCCCTGCCCATGAGAAAAATGTAAAGGTGCGTGATGACTTCAGAAATCTCATTGTTAACCTACTATCAAGTGTTAAAACCCTGGCAGAGGGCCTGAGATCACCTGTGGAACCACCCGACACTGCAGGATCCCCTTTGACTTCTGCGGGGCGGTCCTACAAGACCAAAAACGAGAGCCAACCCGCATTGAGACCCATACGTTTGTACAGTGACGTGGTCCGTGCGCGAACCCCCTCAGTCGACCCTTGGGTCGACAGGGAGATTAGACTAGCTGCAAGTACTTTAATTGACATACTAACAGTTGAAAATGTACCTGCACCGGCAGAGAAATCCGTGGATATAATGAATTATGAAACGGCGAGTGAGAACAAAGGACTCACCAGCCAACCCAAGGACGATGATGATCGTTCTTGGTCGACCATTGCAAGAAAACACAACTGAAAGACGGTCTTCAATGACGTCAACCAGATCCGGGCAAAGAGACCTGATGAGCTAACAAAAGAGCAAAAGAAAGTAGTTAGCGAAGCTGAACAACAGCTAACAGAAGATGAATGCACTAGAGTGAACCAACGCGAGTATAGCGTCAGGCATAACCGTGGAAACGACATGGAGTCCCCTGGGGAAGGACCATCTAAGGGAAAAGGTCCAGACACTCAGAACTGGGGGGCTATGAACCTAGAAGATGAAGAATTGGATATGGAGGCCCAGTACGCGGCTCTAGAATCCTACAAACTGGCCAAGCAGATGGCCAGTGAATCAGAATCAGAGGACCCAAGTGGGGACGAACCTGGCAATCCATGAGGACGTCAAAGGGATGACAATGATCAAGCCGCCAGAGAGAAAGAGGCGGTAAAAGTCGCTGTAGCGAAAGCAGAGGAACGTCTGCAGAAGGAGTATGAAAGTAAATTAAAGGAACTCACCGCAACATGTAGCCAAAGGACTGGCTTGCAAGGCCTCGAGCGAAACAGACGAACAGAGATCCCATAAGGACCCTCATGGACAAAGTGGTTAACCCCACCTCTGACCATCGGGAGTGCAGGCAAACCCCACAGGCTATGGAGCCTGTGCATCAAGTACCCGCCAAGTCCTACATCAGCCAGGCGTTGGGGCGGATTGGTCGTACCAAGACAGGACCAGGCAACTCAGACTCGTCCTCAGAGTCGAGCTCCGATAGTTCAGACAGCTCTGACAATGAATCAAGTTCAACTGAATCCCACAAAAGTGATGAGGCGGCTAAACGTAGGTGTAAGCACTCAAAGAGAAAGACGAGGAAAAGAAAGGACAAGACCACCCTAAAACCAATACCACCCACAGTATATGACGGCGCGGTCGATTCTCGTGTGTTCCACTGATTCATAACTGAGGGAACAGCCTATGTGGAGGACAGCAAAGTAACCTCCAAGAAGAAAGTATTTATACTGTTGCATTACCTGAAGGGTAAAGCACATGAATTCTATATACGAGAAGTATCGGGAGATCCGTACCATTGGAGACTAAGAGAATTCTTCATGGAGATGTTCAATTATTGTTTCCCTATCAATTTTAGGACTAAGCAACACAAAAAGTTGAAACAATGCTTTCAGAACGACAAACCTGTTCGTGATTATATCTATGAACTTAATGAGTTATGGAATATGATTGGGGACATCAATGAACGGGACCGGGTAACTTGACTATGGACAGGATTGAATACAAAAATCCAGCAGGAGCTGTGGAAAAAGGAATTGAATCCTGAGGTATCCTCCTTTAAAGAGGTACAAACCACCACTGAGATAATAGAAATCGCGCACTCAGTAACAACGGGACGGACCAACCATAGTAGGAAGTGTGGCTGCCACCCTGAGGATCGGAAATCCTCGAAGGGATAGAAACTCAGATGGGAGACGACAAGTGTATCGGCCAAACCCACCTGGAGAAACCCGTCAGTCAAAACCCTCAAACAGCAATGGAGGAGATGGGTTTCGATGAAAGGGCGAAACACGAATGGGTCAAAGAAACGACTCACTTAGTACTGAAGAGAAAAACCGCCTGAGCGCTGAAGGATGCTGCTACAACTGTAAGGAGTTGGGTCATCTGTTGTGGAACTGTCCCAAGAAAGTGAATGTGAAATCCAGCTCACCTGGCAAGCCGCCTGGGATACCCAGTTTCGGGATCCATGTGGAAGGTAAACTGTCAGAAGGATTGCGTGGTTTAGCGAATATGACAGAAATGCAGGATGGGTTGTACCTAGGATCGGTGGGCATGTTACTTTCGACTGCCACCGAGTACGTCCTTGAGGGCGATGAAACAGGAACAGCAAGACCATTACGACTGAATGGGTTTTGAGACCCAATAGCCCAGAGGGCGACCAATTTGCTTCAGGGGGTCAAGTACCTGGGCGATGAGCAGCTGGAAACAGATTGGAGTGATTCCGATCGATTCACTGTGTTCAGAACCTCGGATGATAAGTATGCTATTGTTGACCACTCACATCCCGAGATACAAACAAACATTGATAGTGTGAGTTTGGAGAACCCAAAATTTCACTTGGACAGCACATATTTTATCCGTCTGGGCTTGCAGTTAGGGCATGAAGGGCGCGGGCTAAGAAAACAGGATCACGGACACACTGGTCGGAAACCTTCAATGGGAGATCCGATATCGGATCGCTTGGTTTGGTGGCTGAGTGAGTTCAGTCTGATGTGCACCAAGAGCCCGTTCTGCACTCGACGCCCGCATTTCACCTGTCACAAGACCATCAATGGGGACTGGCTGGTGTATGATCAGGGGTTAAACTTACATACCCTAGTACCGAAGGACAAAGCACGTCGGCGAGACTGGGATCCTGAGAGATGGTATGCGTGACAAATACAGCACAAAATGAGGGCACTGACAGATGTCCATTACGATGGGGTGGCCAGACTGTTTAGTCTCCCCTTGGACAATGAAGAAGGACTTCAGCTGGTGATATCCAACTGGATAGACATCAGGAGAATAGTGAGGACCTGTGAGGCTTCGGACAAAGGAAGCCTGCTGTGGGAGATTAGGGTATGCAGAGTGCAGGTGCCCTCTGGAACATACCCGTCATTGCAGCAAAATGCAGCAGTAACCCACAATTTCACCCACACTATACCAAAGCCCATCGTGGTGGTGGTTCGCATTAACGAACGACCTGCTCAAGCGCTAATAGACACAGGTTTGTTAGCAGATTTCATGTTGCTGATGACCACAGAGCAGGTCGAAGCACAACTTACCATGTTAGAAAAACCTCTAACCATTCAACTGGCCGTTCAAGGGTCCAGATCAAAGGTTAATTACAGGACGACAGTCCAATTTCAGTATCAGGGCGTGGATTATAACCGATACTTTGATGTGATTAACTTACAGAATTATGACCTCATACTGGGGACCCCTTTTCTGTATCAGCATAGCATGACTGTAGGGTTCAATGCATCACGCATCATACTAGGAAGCGAGAAACCATTGGCATTGGCGGGAGAAGGGGTGACGACCCTGGAGTCGCGGGTAGCGGAGATCATCAGTGACAAACTTGAGAAAACCCGCGAGTACCTAAAACAGTTAGCACGACTGCTGTGCACTAAAGCTACCAAAACGAAGCTCCCGCCACTCTGTTTAATAAATCATACCATCCCATTAATCGATGAAGCGAAAATTTACCTGTGGTGTCCATCGCGGTGCCCTGAACCGATGCGACCTCAGTGGGCTGAGAAAAGGAGTGCATACTTAGCATCAGGGCATTGGCAAATGACAAGCGCTGGAAATACTGTCCCTATGCTGTTTATACGAAAACCAGGGACAGATCGTCTGTGAATGGTGGTTGATCTTCGAGAAAGAAATAAAAACACGTGGAAACTTAGCTCTCCCCTGCCTGACATGGAGGGTATCTTGCGTTGGGTAGCGCAAAAGAAGTTTCAATCGCTAATGGATGGGCAAGATGCGTACGAACAAATCAGAGTGATTCCTGAACACGTACCGTGGACGGCTATGACTACCCCTGATGGAAACATGGTTAGCTATGTATTACAGCAAGGGGATTGCAATGCACCCGCTACCTACCAAGCCATGATGAATCACCTATTTGGCGAATACATCAGAATCTTCATGGACGTATATCTAGATGATATAATAATATATTCAGATATGCTCGATGACCACATTGAACACATATGAATAATCGTACACATACTCGAGTGCGAACAGCTTTATTTGAGTGAGAAAAAGCTGCAGTTTCTGTGCCCTGTGATGAAAATCCTGGACAGAGTTGTAAGTGACAACAGGATCTGTATGGACCCAGACAAAGTTGACAAGGTCCTGACCTGGAAGACACCCATTAATCGCGACTTATGTCGTGGGTTCATTGGGGCCGTCGGGTACCTCACGGACAATATTCACAAGGTTTGCATACCATTGGGGGTGTTGTCGGCTGTGTGTGGTGGCATGGTGCCATTTCACTGGACAGAAATGGAGCAGCACACTTTTGAGGAAGTAAAGCGATATGTTAGTGCTTGTTCTACGCATCATCGGGTACCGCTTACCTATGGGTCAGATCAGCTGCCAGTATGGATGATGACAGATGCATGCCCCACAGGGGTTGGCAGTGTGGTGGCGCAAGGGCATGACTGGAAATCGGCCAAGATTGCCGCCTTTTACTCGGCAAAGATGAACTCAGCCCAGCGGAATTACCCCATACACGAGCAGGAAATGTTAGCTGGGGTGGAGACTATGCTGCGGCATCGGGACATCCTGCAAGGATGCCCCTTCACTTGGCTGATGGATCATAAAAGCTTGATTTATATTCTAAATCAGAAGAACTTGTCAGGACGACAGGCTCGGTGGGTAGAGAAACTTGGTGAGTTCAACTTTACCGTTGAATATTTGCTGGGGGCGCACAATATATTACCAGATGCGCTATCCTGTATGTATGACTTTGATGTGCCTGGAATGGTGTGCGCTGTCAGTGAGTATGTTACTCATGATGAGTACTCACCACCGGATGATGGATCTGGCCTGGTAAGCATGCCAGTGCTGGTGGGTGCCGAGGTGGATGCAGTCACTCTGTGAAGGAGCTCGTGGAGGGTTATCCCCACTGCAAAACGCATTCAGGCTGAAGCCCAGAGCTAGCAGATGACTGTCTGCACTGCGAAACATGTAGAGGCAGAGACCCCGCCGGGGACAACAACAGGACCGCCCCCGATGGGTTTGCCCACAGGAGGGGCGAGTACGTCCCCTGCACGGCAGGAGATGGGTACTGAGTTTGCGCGGCGCGTGCAGAGATTCATGCTGCAAGGTCCTCAACCGCCAGATCTGGACCCCACCTCAAGAATTGAGGGGGGGGTACAGGTAACAGAACCTGAAATTCAAGAAGTCGAAAGCGAAAACAAAAACAAAAATGAAAATGAAAATGAGAAAGAAGCGATAAGAATTCCGGTGACGTACCCTCATGAGATGGAATTACTGGGCCAAATGAGGCACCAATATGAGAAAGACACCTTATTTAAAAAGGTACTCGAAGCACCCAAAGAGTTTAGGAACTTTGAAGTAAAGGATGGGTTAATCAAAATCAAGTTAAAGGATAGGACACCCCTATGCATACCTGATATTAAAATAGATGGATGGCGACTAATAGAAATCATAATTGATCAAGTGCACTCTATATTAGCTCATTTAGGGGCAGATAAGACCCTGTCATATCTTCGGGAGCACGTCTGGTGGAAGACCATGGTGCAAGACATACAAACCTTCTGTACGTCCTGTAAGACATGTCAGCGGAGCAAGCCTCCCAACCAGAAACCTTATGGATTGCTGAATCCCCTCCTGGTCATGTCGTGACCCTGGGAGGCCATAGGAATTGACTTTGTTGGGCCCCTACCATTATCTTGCGATCGAGACACTGAGTACGACTCGATAACCATTGTAATAGACTTACTGTCAGGAATGGTACATCTTGTGCCCAGCCAAACTACATACACCGCTAAGGACATGGCGGAGTTGGTGTTTGCGGAAATCTATAAGCACCACAGAATACCTAAGGCGATCATTAGCAATCGCGATGTCTTATTTACCAGTAACTTCTGGACAAATCTCAATTGTCTCATCAGTGTGACTCTGAAAATGTCAAGCACGTATCACCCAGAGATGGACAGATCTATGGAACGTGCTAATCAAACTATCAGACAGATGCTCAGAGCTTGCATTGCCCCAAACCAGCAGGACTGGGTCGCGAGACTACCTGCGATTGAGTTTGCCATCAATATGGTGCAATCAGAATCTACAGGCTTGCCACCGTTCTATATGAATATGGGGCGGTTACCTCGTGCTATGATTTGGGAGAACCCTGGGCCTTCTGAATACCCAGGGGTACGTGTCTTCACACAGCATATGAAAGCTGCTATCATGTCGGCTCATGACACGGTTATTAGCGCCTGAGTCAAGCAGACTTGTGAGGCAAATAAGAAGCGAAGACCTAGCCCACTAGAAAAGGGCGACTTAGTATATATTTCAACAAAAAATATATCCTTGCCTAAAGGAACCTCCAGGAAACTATCTCCTAAGTTTATCGGTCCATACAGGATATTGGAGGACTACCAAAACAACTCGTATAAGCTTGAGTTGCCTGACCAGTTGAAACAACGAGGCATTCACCCGGTATTCCACTCATCTTACCTTCACATTCATGTACTGAACAATGATAGACTATTCCCTGGGCGGATGGAAACCCAGGTAGCTGACTTCGGGATATCCGAGTCGGAATGGGCAGTAGATAAAATTTTATCACACTCAGGGAACCGGACGGACACCGTGTTTGAAATACTCCGGCAGTCGGGAGACAGAATGTGGTTACCATACGATCAAGTTGAAAAACTTGGGGCACTTGCCAAGTATTTTAATTTACTTGGGATTGAAGATGTCTGGAGACAGCAGCAGGAAGCCACCATCGGGTGACTCCCAAGTGTTCTTAGGACACTTATTTTTCGATCAGTTCATAGACTATAAAACCCCAGTGACAAACTTACCAGCCCCATCTCCTAATTGCTCTCTCAACAATTACTTGCCCACCACATTCGGCCTTATCATATCCCCTCGCGCTCTCCTAATCCTAGCAGTAATGGCTCCACTACTCACTCGCGTCGGCGCACGTTGATTCACTCTTACCAATGCCGCCGCTGACAGTGATCTTCTGGTCGTGGTCGACATCATTCATGTATACCTCAAGTATGATGCTCACTTGAGGTCAGGCACTGCCGCAGATCGCGCAACACCCGCAGGATATGGGGAGTTCGCTTTGGCCTTTAACACCATGCAATCCCTTTCCTCAGCTACTCCACGATTCACAGAGGAAAAAACTCATGGGCCCAAAATCACTGGCCCCTCCCCGTCATTCACTGACCTGGTCGGAGACAATGTGCCTGCTGAGACACCACACAATTCTGCCCCACCACCCCCTGAAGGGGGACACTGGATCAACCCTCAGCGCATTGAGCTCCTGGAAGAGGCTCTGTGGCAGAACCTCGAAACTACCAAAAGGAAGTGTGAGTGGCACGAGCGTGCAATTGCAGAGCAGAAGAACAAGTGTACCCATCCGAGCTTTCACTCCAGGGACCCAATAGATCAATACCCTGTCAACCGTGGTGAAGGTAACAGCTCTAGTGGACACAACACGCCATCTACTCATGGCACTTCTACTCAGACTCCCGCTCCACCTGTTCACATGGAGATAGATGATGAGGATGGTGTTGCTGTTGCTTGGGCACCTGCAACCAAGACTAGTGGAAAGGAGGGTGCCAGGATCCCCAAGACGAAGTAAGGGTGATGGCACACCCTGGAGGGGGGTATGTGGCATTGCCACGATCGAGGATAGAGATCGAGGCAGAAAGAATAGACGAAGCCAAGAACTAGGTGCCTAAGCCAATGTTCGTGGTTCTGACTTAGAATGACTCGAGTGTCTTAGAAGTATTTGATTTCTCTTTATCACAGGCTCTTCACATGCTACTAGTATTTAAACCCTACTTGTACTGTAAAGATCCCTTAGTTCTTCTCCAATCGAATCAGACTGGTATCTGGTGACTTTGCGATAAGGATTCTATTCTATTCTATTCTATTCTATTCCATTCCATTCCATTCCATTCCTTGTGCTGACACATCAAGTCTTATCGACTTTGACTGCCGTCACAAGAGATGGGCCTGTCTGTGACAGTGGGACCAAGCTGTGGCTCTGGTGAACTGTACAGCTCTGTACAGCTCTGTACAGACCATTGTGGTTTACTGATGAGAGCGAAGAAGAAGAGAAAAACACAAAGGCGAATCTTCGAAGCAGAGCACTATTTGAGTGCGAGCGCACAGACCAGTGCCATTCTCGTTCAGAAGCACGAGAATGCCAATCTCCACAAGGATGCTTACAAAGGCCCTTTTCGCATGCATCAACGTTCGCAAGCTCACGATCCGCTCGGAAAGTACAACTGTCCACACATCATATCCATATGCAACGCACCGTCCAAAGCCAAGCGGATTGCTTGTACGTAGTATGTACAGACGCAAACTATGTAGACTCTAGATTTTTCTCCCATTCCACTCTTATACTGTAATTTCTCCGTGCCTTTCAGCGCTATCGGCACCGGACGACCTTGGATGGACGGGCAACTTCTTCCCGCCCAGGCATGATGTCACCTCCCCCATCATGTGGCGAGGCTCATAGGTAAATTTTGAACAATTCGCTTGCAATGGAAGCGCAAATATTGCGCCACGGATCGATCTACTTTCATCTCCCGCCATTCATGAACCACAGACGCATTACAACGTGAAGTAAGTACAATCATGTACAAAAGCGAAAATCAGGTGATATCTGGCGATCTCTGTACATAAATTATGACGCCAACATGATAGGTATGTCCAAATGAGAAGAGAAGTACTTTGACATGTTCACTATATTTGGGCGAAATTGTGGAGAATCGGCAAGCCAACAACTGCAGCCAAGGCCGCAAGCTGTTTCCCAGGTATGAGTCCAAAACCACGAGGAGCAGCATTAACTGACACCGACGCTAAGTATCGTGTGTGAGTTCGTTCATATATCAGAGGCAAGAGGCTACTTACTAGTAGTAGGTATACCCGAGACAGTGGTAGAAGACCCTCCAGACGAAGATGTTGAAGAAGTGACTGGTTGAGTCTCCGAGGACGCAGATGTCGTAGGGCCGTTGAATGTAATTATACCACTGCCGGTAGAAGAGGTTCCGGGCAGCACAGTTGCAGTAGAAGTGGAGTAGGAGTGGGAGTGGGAGTGTCCGTCGTGACACTACCTCCACCGCTTGCGCCACCACCACCGGAGCCTACACTGGAACATTCATAAAGATTCGCTATGCACGTAGATCCAGTCGGGCAGCCTGAGAAGATGTCAGCGTGGTTCATTCAATTGACAGAGAATAGAACACACATCCCCCGAGAGAGTCATTGCAGCAGAAGGTGCCGGATGCACAGCAGGTGGCGTCATTGCATTGCTCTAGGGCGGGGTCAACATTTCGCCGTACTTGGTACGTAAATTCCCTTACCGTCTCCAACAGGACAGACGCTTGCTCGAGCGATGAACTTCCCTCGCCGCACCAAGAGAGCTGATAGTAGAGACTTAGTCACTAGTGACTCGGAGTGACTAGAAACTCGCGGAGAGGTAGGATCTGCAGCAGCGAGCTGAAGGCATAAGAAAAGAGACAGCGCGATATACAGAAGACGCAACATTGTGGTGTTGGCAATTACAGTCGAAGTGTTCGCGCTTTTTATTGAGAAACCAGGCATTGATTTTTTGAGTCAGACACGTAGCGAAGGCAGTGAACACGTTTCTTGGCAAGGCACCAGAGTTTGGTCCACGGGGCGACGCTGTACCATTGACAGGTTATGATGCTTGGCAGATCAATAGATTGGCGTCCAACCGTATCTGAGTTTCATCGCGTCACTGTTAGTCTTGCGCCAGTGACACACGCCCGAGGACAACAGATGGTGACCCTAAGCTGCTAAAGGCAGTACTAGTCATGAGTGTTGCGGTACGGCTTAAACTGTTGTCCAAAGGGCTCACCAGAGACAGCCAGAGGCCCGACTGCAGGGGCGAAAGACGCACCTGACAATTAGCATAGCACATAGAATTGATGCCGGCAGGAATGACTTGGGGATCAAATTTATGTAACTTAATATCACGCTAACGAGCCACATCTTTATGTTTATATAACAAAATGCAGTGTATACCACGTACGTGTCGCCTTTCGATCTCGCTGGTGCTGAAGCACCCGCTACGACTGAAACTCAATAGCTTGTGCTGTCGTGTGGAATATCGATAAATGCGAGGCGACCCAGAGCATGCGTGGCCGGTAGAGACAGCCATTGGAGTCTTACATACTAGTTACCAGTACGTGTGTCACGAGAAGAACGTATCGAACGGAAGCTTGCCGTCACGAGAGTCGTAAGGTGGCGTTGTCGTATCTTGGCGTTGTCGTTGCTTGAGCATAACTGCATGTCCTTGAGGCTCATCCACTCTACTGAGGTTCTGGACTGTGTCCGAGTGGGTAAACAGCCTTGACAATCGTCATTCTTGGTCATCAGTACAGAATGGTGCAGCAAACTGCAGAAGGATGTTACCTGCCTTCACGGACGTCACACTGCTTTGCATGCTTACCTCAAAAAAAAATTCGGTATCAATGGCACCACAAAGATGTGGCTCCGTGTCAGGTGGCATGCAACGTTAACGCTGCACCATGCGCATGATGGAATCGCCTCATGACCACTGTCTCGGATCAGGCTCCTCATGTTCATCCCACAATCCATGAACCACAGGTAAAATGTAGTTTCCGTAGCTAACCTGATACACATACATGACGGTCGACAACTACGAAAGCAAAAATCAGGTAAGATATCTGGCGACCTCCGTCCATAAATCACGAACCCAACAATGTGACAAGCCCGCCCAAAGGACAAGAGAAGTAATTTTGCACATTCACAATACACGGGCGACATTGCGGAGAATGGGCAAACAAATAACTGCAGCCAAGGCCGCAAGCTGTTTCCCAGGTATGAGTACAAAACCACGAGGAGCACCACCAGCTGACGCTATGTACCGTGTGAGTTAAGGTCACACATTAGAGGCACTAGGCTACTTACTAGTAGCAGGTATACTCGGGACCGTGGTAGAAGACCCTCCAGATGACGATGAAACGGTCGAAGAAGTGACCGAATGAGTGCCCGAAGATGTAATAGTTGTAGGGGAAAGAGTGCTCGAAGACGCAGTAGTTGCAGGGGAATAAGAACTTGAAGACGCAGTTGCTGTAGACCCGTTGAATGTGATTACACCGCTGCTGGTAGAAGTGGTTTCGGGCAGCACAGTTGAAGTAGAAGTGGGAGTAGGAGTGGTAGTGGTAGTGGTAGGAGTAAGAGTGGTGGTGGTAGTGGTAGTAGTACCTCCACCGCTTCCGTCACCACCACTGGAACACTCATAACTATTCGCTATGCACGTGGATCCAGTCGGGCAGCCTGAGAAGATGTCAGCGTGGTTCATTCAATTGACAGAGAATAGAACACACATCCCCCGAAAGAGTCATTGCAGCAAAAGGTGTCGAAGTCACAGCAGGTGTCGTCATCGCAACAGGAGGTGTCAGATTTACAACAGGTACTTCCATTACACGTTTGCGCGTCATTGGGGCAACATCTGGAGCAGTAATCAGAAATGAAAAGCAAATTGATCACACAAACTTTTCTCTCACCCGGAACCGAAGCACTGATTATAACGTTCATCGATCAGTATTGGCAATTGATTCTAAGAAGGCGCCAAGACAGCACGTACGAAAGAGTCGTCTGGACAGATGTGTATATCATTGCACTAGGCTCAAAATATCAATCACAACGGGAAAGGTTCATCAGTCAACCTTACGCAGTAGCTGTCAACTGGGGCACATGTGTCTGGGTAGTTGACACATTGCACTATGGCGAAGTCAGCATTTCGTAGTACTTTGTACATACATGCCTTACCGTATCCGCTAGGACACACTTCGGTCCCTGCGCGAGCAATAAAATTTCGTCGCCGAACCAAGAGAGCCGATAGTAGAGACTTAGTCACTAGTGATGCTGACTTGGAGTGACGTGAAATTGTAGGGGCAGGATCTGCAACAGCAAGTTGAAGGGATAAGAAAAGAGACAGAGCAACATACAGCAGATACATCATTGTGATGTTGGGATTGACGGAGTATTCGCGCCTTTATCGAAAACCAGGCGTTTATTTTCCTTGAGTCGGACAACTCAAGGCGGTAAGAGTAATTTATTTCTTGGTAAGGCACCAGGGTTTAATCTACGGAGCGACATCGTACCATTGACAGTTTATGATGGTTATTCGCGGATGCGACCGGCCGGATCTGTTTCATTGCGTATTGTGCTAGTAGTACACAATGAAATATCACAAAACCTTGGGCTGCTCAAGGCAGTCATGAGCGTTGTTGTACGGTTTAAACAATTGTCCAAAGGGCTCACCAGAGACCTGACTCAGCCGACATTCAAGCCTTTGACAAGTGAAAAAGAAGTGCCTGACGATTAGCATCCCCGAGATGCAAGAAGCAGGAGTGACGACTGGGGGATCAAATTTAACCAAATACCACAAGCCGCATCTTTATGTGTAAATGCAGTGTATATCACGTACGCGTCGTCTTTCGATCTCGTCGGTGATGTAGCAGCACTCACTACGAGTGAAACTCGACAGCTTGTGCTGCCGTTTGGAATGTCAATGAATGCAAGGCGAGCTAAGGCGTGCATGGCTAGTAGAACCTTGAAAGACAGCCATTATAGTCTTATATATCCCACTGAACATCAACCTTATCAGTTATCTTGACAGCGTCCTTTATCGAGTGGAGACCTGTCAAGTGACTGGGGTCACTCGTAGCGGTGTCTTGGTAATATCGTCACTCGAGCATAGCTTGCCCTTGATGCTGTCCCGTCCCATTGATGTACTACAAGCATCTGAGCAGAACCTGGGCAGAACATCTTTGACAATCGACAAACCCATGGATAAACAGAGGGTGCTCCATGTCTATATAACGGATGGTACTACACATCTGCGAAAACCCTCATTAGTCTTGATCACCAGTGCAGGGATGTCACCTGCCTTCATAGACCTGCTTTGCTTGCTTACAAGCAACTTACAAGTCAAAGAATGTCTGGTATCAATAGCCTTATCCACCATCTCCGAGTCCGCGCCAGGTCACTGCGGCTAACGTGGCTGCATCATGTGCATTGTACTCGGTCGAAAAGAGGCAATGCTCGGGCCAAAAGCCCGCAGGGGCATCACGGCGAGTCTCTCGGCGCGAAACAGTCGTTTACGTATAGTTAGTGAGACTAAGTGCTAGGAAAACCAGACGGGGGAAGAAAGTTGCCAGTGGCACGTGAGGTGGTACCGCTGGCCTACCTGAGGCTTACGTATATTAGCTGATTTTCTTTCCGTGTTGTTGTGCAGACACCTCCATCATTCATCATCATCACCCACGGACGCCCGCCGCTTTGTACTAGCCTCGCATCAGATTTGATCCTGGAAGGTGATCCGAGTGCTTCGCAAGAATCGCTGAGACAGCACCTAGGAAACTTCTGTCACAGTTTTGTGTAATTAACTATAGGGGAAAATCCCTGCCTCTCATATTGCAAATGATTCACCAGTCTCCTCTAGACCATGTAGTAGAAGGAAGATTATGGTACGGACCGGTACGTACTACAGAGGCACTAGATTTTGCGGATCTTTCTCCATCCCACCCTAATATCCTAATACTATCGTTGCCTCATAGACGGACTGGTCACATACCTACCTTTCAGCGTTATCGGTACCGGACGACCTCGGACGGACTACCTTCTATTACTTTTCTTCCCGCCCGGGCATGGTACCGTACCGAACTTCCGCTCGGAGAGGTACACAATTGCCTTCATAGACAATTAATCTTCCGTGCGGGTAATTGTGAACCTTCTTGAAGGTTGCGAAGTTTCTTGCTCCCACATTACAATATCCGCCTTTGAACCGGTTACCGCTCCCATTACTTCATTGCCGCGCCCGTCCGCGAGACTAAAAGCGTCATATCTCCCCCGGACCTTATCAGACAATGGAGACTTGGAACTGGCTCCCTTGGCAGACTACATCTAGGTAACACCTATCATCAAATTCTGATAAAAGCAAGGTATAGGCCTCCGCAGTTGGCTGGACCGGATAAAAGCTGAAATGGTCCGCGATAGAACCGCGATAACCAACTGACAGGCCCCACCACTCCTCCTCGGAAGTTGAAGTCGAGCCAGATCTAATAACCAATATCGACGACTGGACCTGTTAGGGGTACTGATCATCGAGCCTATCTGTACGCTTATCACCGCACACCGGCGCAGAAAAAATAAAAATATCACACCACTGGCCAGAGTTAGGGGCTATCGACCTCATATGGACCTCATATACCTCTAACTTGCAGCGCAGTCCTGTCATGGTGACTCCGCATTTCAACCACTACCTCTGCCATCATCAGCGTCTGTTTGTGAAATGAAATCAAAAAACACCCCGAGACGCACGGTTATTAGTCTTCTAGCTCTTCATCTGTCAATCCAAGTCAGACAAAAGTACGTGGGGTACATAGCCTGTACTGTGCTTCTAGGCACCACGCAGCAAATATCACTGTTCATGATCTAGGGGCTTGCGTAGACCATCATAGACCTGCATGTCACCCCAGTTCGTTACACTTCCCTGTAGCCAAGAACAAATTATCCACTTATGCATAGATAACCTCCCATGGACACTCCACACCCATCGACGTGGCACTGGCAGTTCATCGCCATTAATGGTGACTCTGACTTGATAAGAGATCTTTCAGATCATGAGGTCATCGTGCTAATAGTAAAACGGCTCCAAAGAGGTCGAACTGATCGATTGCACATAATTGAAGCTTTAGGAAATATGAATGCATTAAACAATATGATAATCGATTGAAAGTTCTGCAAAGAAGTCAAAAGTCGGAACTACGCAGCGATGTGGTGCGATGCGAACAGACTCAGATTCTGGACAAGCCCGAGCCAAGCCCATGAACAAGGTACGTATATACAATGCAGAGCGGGATGTAGCGAACAGTTCATTATAAGTTTATGTAAAGGAGCGGAACGCCGTATTAGGGCACACGTGCAGCAAGGATGTGGACAAGAGACAACAGCAACGACACAAGGCAACATGTGTATAGTAAAAAAGTCCAACCTTACAAGGGGGTGCAAGTGCAACATGAGTAACAAACAATAACGTAACATAAAGGACCGTCCAATTGCGTGATATGGGGTAACAAGAGCAAGCTGGTTGGCTGGCTGGCATTCGGATGATGGCGAGTTGCGCCCTGGCGTGGGATATATGAGAACGGAACGCATCTCAGGCTGCGACGATGAAAAAAGGGGTGATTGGACGGTGATTGATGAAGAGGGTCTGGTTTCTATGTGGCATGATATTTAATTATTAAAGACTTTGCTTGGAGGCGTGGTTCCGGGGACCCTGCCCAGTGGGCCAGTTCAAGTCTAGTACGAGAAGATCATAAGCCAAGGATTGAGGACGATCTATATCGGTGTCAGCAGCAGTTACTTTTCGATCTAACAGAGAAGATAACGCGAAAAAGGAGTAATAAGACGTCCAATCGTTGGAGAAACGAAATGAAGAAGGTGGAAGAAGGGTGAAGCACGTGGTCCAAAAGAAGCCGTGATTCGGGGAAAAGACGCACCGGGAAGAGAATATGGCAAGAGCACGCCACTACCAGCGGAAAGATAACGGCCCATCCACTTCCGGTTACTTGCCACTGATATGGTACGAGCGGTGTACTGACGATGACAACACCCGCGATCAACAGGGTGCATACGAGGAGGGGAAACCAGAACCTATATAGAGTGATGTCCGTTAGTATTATATGGCATCAAGGGTAAGAAACGAAGAAGCGCGGAAAAAGAGAAGAAGAAAGTGCGGATATCGCCTTATGGGCAACGAGGCAGTGGACAAAGAATGCACGGAGTTCGAGGGAACAGGAAGAGAATGACGCGGCGTTCTGAAAGCGACTGGGTGATGGTGATCGAAATGACCTGTCCACCCAGCGATAGAGTGGGCGCAAGTGATAGGCGCGACATATGTACAACGGGTGGAAACAAGAAGGTCGTTTAGAGCTGAAAGGCTCCAAGACCGAAAACGCATGTCCACCGATCATCAGATACACATTTCCGTGTTCAGCAAGGTTAGCACTGGGCGGCAATGTCCGTCCTAGTACCACGTGCGCATATATCTGTTGCCAGCATACGCATGCACAACCAGGCACATGTCCTGAGGAATATTTCCGGAGAAACAAACATGGAAAATCCCCCAAAAAGGAGATAGCACCTGGAACAAACGTCACTGATGCGCACGTTTCGGCGGAACGAAAATTGGGCGCCAACGTTACCACATCATGATCGTCAAGGGCGCCAATATGAAGAGTGGGCGCTTGCGCAACGTAACGACAAGCACCCGAAACGTCTAAACCAAAAACAGAAAAAAACGCACCTCTTGAAAATCCTCGGAACCTCCTTGAAGAAATTCGACCTCTCGACTTCTTTCTTCGTCGCGCTCCATGTGATATTGTAGGAAAACATATGTGCAAGGATAGCTTGCGAGAGTGGTATGCCTAGTCCTCCAAAGAAGAAGAAGCTGCCCATGTCCCATTCATCAGTGTTTGCCCAAACGCCCAAAGAGGGAAGAGGGGAGAAAGACTCACAAGAATGGCATCCATCCAAAACACTCAATCGCACCCCCGATGATCCCCTTCTCCCCAAGTCTATACTGCAAAAGCACGTACCCGACGCTTCCGGCTCCGAAAAAGACTACGAATGTGGCTAGCCAGATTTCGAAACTGTGCATGTAGAAATCGTCTGTGGGGAATTGGAAACCGAGCATTATGTAGTTGATTACGGAGATTGTAACTGAGGCTGCTATTCCGTCTGTGGTGGGTGTTAGTGTTTTTCGTTCATTTTTTTTGGGTGGGAGGGAGGGAAGAGGGACGTACAATACGAGAACATGTCTATTTGATGTAATACAGCAATCAGCAATCGCATAAAAATACAGGATAGGACGAGGAACGTACAAGCCATCATCGAAATCTTGTAGTGCAGCGGTGCAGGGCTCCACAAGAATTTGTGGATCTGGCTGCTGACGGGGCCTTTGTAGAACCATTTGACGAGGGGATTGAAGAGGAGTCTGTGTTGTGCGTGAGTATTGAGCGGTGCGCGAGAGGGAAGAATCCGTGAGGAAGGAAAGGTGTGCGAGAGAGAAAAGAGAGAACGCACTCATTACACCCATAAGCATACTTCTGCCACCTATTCAACTCATCGTCCACAGTAAGCGATACACCTTCTTTGAACCCGCCCAGCGAGTAGGTCGCCCATCTGCGTGCGTGCGTTAGCGTGGTCAATCCCAAACTCCACATAGAGCGAATGGGGAAGTGGGAGCGATGACGAACCTGACGATATACCCCTGACGCAAAAGCCTAAGCGCCATATCAAAATCCTCACTGACGTTATCCTCGCTCCATATCTTCATCTGCGTTCCTCTAGCTTGTGCATGTGCTGGTGCTTTGCCTTTCCTATTTCCACCCTCACGAGGACCCACACCCGTACTAGTACCCCCACCAGTACGATGATCAGAACCAGAACCAGGATCGTCAAAGTGAACATCCCCATCAACAAAAACAGCATCCTGCAAAGCACTCCACCTCAAAAAAGCATTATGCCCCACAAAAGGAGCTACTTCTCCGTTTGCGCACATCATGCTGATGCATTTGTTGATTCGGCGGGTGAAGAAGGCGATGGCGTTTTCGAAGTAGTGGTTTGCTACTTGGAGGACGTCTGTTTGGGTTTGTGAGTGGGGCTGGGGTTTTTGGGGGGATGGTGGGGGGACTCACCACTCTCATGCTGCAAAACCCCAACCTCAGCACCCTCATCCTCTCCAAACTCCCTCGCGGCATCGCGGAAACAATCAGCAGGGACGACCGTGTCAGCGTCTACCAATAAAATAATAGATCCGATTCGGCATGCGCGGGCGTTTGCTGCCCATGGACGGTGGTTTGTTCCAGAGGTGTGGTATACTGTTTCGAGTTAATATCCAAGTTATGCATCCGGGAAGGGGGGACGCACCTTCTTCCATAGCCAGTTGTAGAGCCCGCTCTTCGAGGTCTTCGATAGGCGTCGAAGCGAGTGTGGGTTGTTCATGCGGCATTGGGGGCGTTGGTGGCGTTGTTGGAGGCATTGGGGGGGTACTAGTTCGCGGTGTACCAAGTACAGGCGCACTAGGTCTTGGCGTACCTGGTAAACTCCCGCCTCCATTAGGCCCAACGACAAAAGGCGGTACAAACCCCTGCTCATCCCCATCTTTCCCAATATACTGTAATCCATATGTCCCAGGACTCTGCCCAGGGACACTAAGCATACTCCCCCCATCCGTGCCCGTCCCGCCCGTAGCAGCTGATTGGGCGCTGAAAGTGGTGCTGACGCTAGCGCGGTGGAAAGGTGGGTTTGGAGGGGTGAAGATGTTGCTATCTCTGCTCGCGTTGTTTAGTGCGAAGCTTGTGTGTTGGCTGTGGCTGAGGCTGAGGCTGTGGTGGGGGGTGGTCGGGGATTGGAGTTCTTCGAGGATGCGTTCGAGGCGGAGGGAGATGTCGAGTGCGTAGTTCATGTTGGAGGCTTTTTTGAAGCGGCCTGCACGTATGAAGCCTGTCGGTGTGTTAGTACCGCGTCAATATAGGTGAGGGGGGACTGACCTTGGTGACCGTGTTTGGGTCTTGCGATCCAGCCGATACCGTGGGTTGCGTAGTACTCGATGCGTTCTTTTGCTTGGTCTGGGGGGAGGAGGCGGAGACCGTCATCGTTGATGAAGAGGCTGGATGTGCCGCCGTGGCGTGCGTATGTCTGCATTGCTGTCTTGAGGGATATGAGGGAGGGGGTGCTGGGGGGGATGAGTGATGTGTGTGATTAAAAAGAGGGACTTACAGGACAGTTGCGAGACTTTCTTTGTAGACTGGCATTTGGATTGTGATGTGGGGGAGGGCATTGTCGACGGCGGGGTTCGGAGCGGGTCGGATTGCGGAGTAGTAGCGGCTGTTTTGGTGATAGTGAGCGATGGGACCAATGGCAAAGGAGACGCTCTGTATGATTTGGAGGGTAAAGAACTGGGGAGGGGTGAGTGGGTGCATAAAGAATAACAAAGACAAATACCAAAGAGACGCAAAAGAGAAGTGGCATGAGAGCGCAGAGAGCGAAATGAGTGTAGTTGCCGTCTAGGCGAAATTCTATAAGGAGAGTGCGCAGACCGTTTCCGATAAAAACTAGAAGAGGATGAGCGAAGAAATATGAAAGAAGGGAAGACTGACCAAAAGCGAGTGCGGCGGATAGACCGTTGTAAATTGGAGAATAGAGCATGATGGGACGTTTAGTTGATTTTTGTGGTTTTTCGGGATCATGGTCTGAGGGAACGACACGTCCGTACCAGGTGCGTTTGAGGGATTCGGAGTTGACGGTAGAAGAAGGAGTGAGCTGTGGTTCTGGTTTCTCTGAGTGAGAGTAGAGAGATAGTTCTGAAGGGAGAGGTGGACGACTACGCCAGAGTAGACGAATGAGACGATCTTCAAAGTCGCGCGCGATTGGGATTATTGTATCGAGAGAGTCGCTCCAAACGACGAGTACACGTTCATCGCGCTGTTTATTATGAGTAAAGTATAATAATATAAAAAGAATACATACGATAAAAGCAGCGTTCTGATCCTTTTCTGCTTGTGGAAGGAGGACCATTGAATCTAGGACTTGAATGCGAGTATTTGCATCTACGTAGATGCAGTCATCGATGGCTTGTTCTGCCAATGCAGCGTGTACTGCGGCACTCCTAACTTTGACTGCTACTAGTGGGTTTAGAGCAGATACTGCAGCCTCGAAAGGAGCGAGTGCGGCATTCTCGTATGGAAATACACGAAATTGACCATCATGAGTACGAAGACATACGCCTGGAGGTACTTGGTCTTCATGAGGTCTGAACCAAGCGTCACCCTGAGTTTGTTTGAAAATGTAATGGAGGGTAGCGTCGTAACGGTCGTAGTCCATAGCTTGGGAGGAGGGGGAGGAGTGAGTGAGGATGAGTGAGTGAACTCTTTTGAAGTAATGAAAGCGGTGTTTTGAGATGAGATCTTAGATCTTAGATGCGAAGTTCGGGTGTACGTTAACCGCGCGTCATGGCGGCAATTACGTTAAAAGATAAGAGAAATAGAAAAAGGGATAAACGAATGCAGCAAGTATCAAGCATGGCTTCACCTCGTCCTTTCTTTTTACCCGCCTCTGCAAGTTCAGATGACCATTCTTCAGAAGATGATAGTACTCAACAACGTAGACGTCGTTCTCAACTACCACCTCCCTCTAGCTTCACTTTCCCTTTTCAAGCTTATCCAGGTAACCCAGACCCATTACCTTACAGAACGAGCATAGAACCCTCTTTTAATCCTTCTTACTCAAACTTGAACCGCTCACCTCCTGAGATACCACGCCCAAGTAGCACAACAACAATATTCCGCTCTCCTTTCCTATCTCCAGCTTCACGTCCTTCCTCTTTTTGGTCTCCTCCTCAACTCCCTCCCATTTCAGCAACCCCCTCAGTCGTCGCTCTCCCCCTCCCACAAAAGAAACCTCTTCAAAGCACAAGACTAAAATCAAAACTCACCAAAGAGGACAAGCCATGGCAAACCAAGAGATCAAAATCCAGCTGGTGGATCACTTTCATCATAATGATCCTAGGTCTCTTGGGCGCAGGTGCTCTCTGCTACGAAGGCTACAAAGGCGTCAATATCCTCACAGACAGTCAGCTATGTCTCGTCATGCAAGACGACTTTACAGGCTCTCTCGATTCTGACAATTGGAGTCTCGACGTCGAACTCGGCGGTTTCGGGTCAGTTCTCCTCTCTCGTGTAAAAACTTTGCTCACCTTTGATCAGCAACGGCGAATTTGAAATGACGACCGATGACCCAAACAACGTTTACATCTCAAACGGTCAACTCTACATCATGCCCACTCTCACAAGCGACTCCATCCCCGGCGGTTACCCTGCCGTCATGGATGGTGGAAATTACACCTTGTCAGGTTGTACAGCCCAAGACGGTCAGTTCCTGCATTTTCAGTAACTCACCCTATTCACTCCATACAGGTATAGACCAAGGCGCATGGGTCCAATTAGCCCGTCGCCAAAACAATGTAACAGACACTGGTACATATCCTTATATATCCAAAATTCCCACGCTCACTCACTCTAACCCAGGCAACTCCACCGTCTCGGGTAACTCCACTACGACGGGCAATTCCACTACCACTGGCTCGGGTAATTCTACCACTACTGGCTCAAGCAACTCTACCACCACCAACTCCACCACCGTCAATACAGACCCATGCACAGCCGTATCATCCGCCCAATCCGGTACCGTCATCAACCCCGTTATGAGCGGACGCCTCAACACACGCAATAAAAAATCAATCAGATACGGGCGCATAGAGGTCAGTCAATTCTTTCTATGCCAAACTCAATTCACACACATCAAGGTCCGCGCAAAACTCCCCCAAGGCGACTGGCTCTGGCCCGCAATCTGGATGCTCCCTCAAGGCAACTCCACTTCAAATTCATCAGGCGTATACGGTCCGTGGCCCGTCAGTGGTGAAATCGACGTGAGTTTCTCCTTTGTGATTTGATATCTGGTGTTGATGCACCGTGGCAGTTGATGGAGGCCCGTGGTAATCTCCCAACCTACCCAGCACAAGGATCGAATTATGTTCGTTCGTCCCTGAATTATGGGCCGTTTGCAGGAGGGACTACGCCTGTCACTGATGGTAAGTTCCGGTGGTTTTGTCCCCCGATTTCTAAATGCTTAACTTTTACGTTTTTCTTCACTCCACTTCACTCACGCAGGCACAACAACAATAGCCAATCTCGTTAAAAGCATCTACGGTTGGGTAAGCACCAAACGCGGAAACTTCGCCACCGGGTTCCATGTTTATGCGTTCGAGTGGACGGGGCAGTGGATGAGGTTTTATACGGATAATCGGTTGCAGGTGAGTTGTGTGTTTTCGAGTTGGAGTGCCTTTTTGGAGTACCTTTCCTTTGTTTGGGACTGGGTTACTGTGGTTTTGCGGTGCACTTTTCTCTGTCCCGTCCCCGTCGTAGCACCTGTCGTGTCTCTGTTTTTCCGTCCCTGTTTCTGCCACAGTACCTGTCCCCGACATAGTTCCCCGTTTCTCGATCCCCGTCGCAGCACCTGTCCCCGTCCCCCTCCCCGTCTTCCCACCCCTCCCCCTATCTCCTCCGCATCGCACCACACTAACACCCCCTAACAGGCAATGATCAACCTCAACAAAATATCTTCCAAAAACTCCGATTCCTACTTCTTCAACAACGGCGGGTTTCCAGGCGTAGCCATGAACGTGTCTAGTGGGAAGGAAGTGGTCGTTGAGGATCCTTGGAGTACGGCGTTTGGGGGGTCTGCTGCTGCTCCTTTTGATCAGGGTGCGTGTCTTATTGGGTGGATGCCTCCCATATGCATCTCATTTCCTTCATTGGGTGGTGGCATGGATACTGATATTGTTATTGGATAGAATTTTACCTGGTGATCGACTTGGCTGTTGGAGGCACGAGCGGGTGGTTCCCTGATAGTGTTGGTGGGAAGATGTGGTATGATGGGTCTGCGAGTGCGTTTCTTGTTTTTTATGTGTGGTTTGGGGCTGATTTTGGGCCTCGTCTTTTTCTTCTTGGGTGATTCATTCGGCATGGCTTTGCGACGACTCGATTCGTGACGACTGTAACTATACGACTTCGGACACTACCGCGACACAGCTGCGATGCGCGACTTTGCAGCAGCCCAGGATACATGGAGCGCTACGTGGCCTTCGAGTGCGGATGATCGTGCGTTTAGGATGTGAGTTTCGCGTTGCTTTTGTTTTCACACTTTCATATGTCACATTGTGTTTCATGTTTCACTTTTTTTTTCCTTTTCACTGTTCACTTTTGTCTTTTCCTTTTCACTGTTCACTTCCATTTCGCTTTTCACACTCCACCTTTCCACTCTTTTTCATTTTTCACTTGACTCTGCTTCCGTCCATCTGGCGCATACTGATGGTGATTCAAACAGCGACTACGTGAAGATGTGGAAGCTTTGCGGAACCTAACCCATACCCATACCCATACCCTCGCTTGATTGGTGGTGACTGGTAACTGGTCCCAGTGATCATGATGGCGGACAATAGCAACCTTGCAAGATTCAAGATTCAACTCGACGGACTATATTAATATTTATGCAATACGTGCCATGGACACGGACTTCATACCAGAGACTTTGGGGCTCGATTCGCTCGTTTTTTCTTTATGTTGTTGTTGTTGTTGTCGTTCTTGTTCTTGCTGTTGTTCTTGCTGTTATTGTCTTGCCGCCGTTGGTAGTACTTGTTTGTGATTTGTGATTTTGGTACTGCACAGAGACGATGATGGTGATGGTTATATCCTTTGCATTGCAGCTTCCGCTCAAGTTATCATATTCTCCGACGAGAACTTGGTGACTTGAGTGCAAGCTCCCCTGTTGAGGTCCAGGCGTTGGTATGGTTTATGATTCGGCTTGTACTAATGGTGATGGCTCGTCGTGATCTCTCACAGCGGAGCGGTTCTGATAGGTTTACGCCGGTCTGAATCAGTTCTGCAGGATCCACTCAAGTTCCCCTTTTTTGCGTGTATTATTGAAGTGATTTGGGTGGTGAGTACTAGTGCAAGGAAACCCCCTGCCGTATACTAGCAACCATAAGTAATAAGGATACTGATTCCTTCGCAGCTTCCACTCAAGTTCTCAGGATGAAAGCTCCGAGAACATGATGACTTGAGTGCAACGTAGGAAAAGCCCCCTGTCCAATGTTGATGCGCCGTTGGTATGGTTCATCGTGCTCACAGCGGAGTGGTTCTGATAGGTTTACGCCAGCATGAATCAGTTCTGTAGAATGGAAGACCTCATTCATGCAGAAGGCCATGGTCTGGATTGCCAGCGTGTAAGCGTGCATTACTCTGTGCCTGGCTCACGTTCACGTTTTGAGGTACTGCGTACATTCAATGGCCTTAGCCGAGTCTCTGGTCAAGGTGAGCCTGATGGGGAGAATATTATATTAAACTCATTGCGTACTGATTAGACGATGACGCACTGATATCATTATCATTGTGTACGGCAGTAGACTCAGATCTGGATTCTGGGACGAACTTTGGGTCGATAGTGCAACATCATGAATCGTGGGCAGCTTCGCGAACAAGCACTAGCACTCGTCTCGCGAGGCACTTGTCCGGGTTTCTGGTCAAGGTGAGCCTATTATGACAATATTAAACTCGTTGCGTACATCGAATGACGCGACAGGTGTACGGCAGTAGAGATATGGATTCTGGGACAACGTCATGATCAACCTCGCGAACAAGCATTCAGTAAGTAGCAACTCATCTCGCGAGACGCTTGTCCGGGTTCTTGGTCAAGGTGAGCCAGATGGGGACAATGTTATATTAAATAAACTCATTGCGTACTCATTAGAATCTACATGAATGACACACTTACCGACTGAGGTGTATGAACGTCGAAACCACAGACTACAGTCATACAGACTCCGAATCGGATCACTTCGAATTAATGATAACCTCGTCTGAATCATATTGATGGTTTTGGAAAGTCTTTTGACACGAAGAGTCGCCATACCACCAACTTGATAGAATGAAGAAAGTGTGCAGACTTCGAATCGGACCATTGTGGCCGCCGACGAGTGGAAGAATCGAAGAGCATTAGCTATACAATCATTAATGTTACTTGTGATCCAGTCTAAGCCAGACTCCGACTTGGAGGTTCTCGCACGTTCTGCATCGCGTGACGCTGACGGGTCGAAGAATCGAAGAGCAGCCACGCCATCGCTAATGTCACTTGTGATCCAGTCTAAGCCAGACTCCGACTGGAGGTTCTCGGCATGTTTGGAAGCTGCAAGGCTCAAGCTCTTCGAGGTTCTTCAATCAGACCATCAAGTCCACGTTCTGCATCGCGTGGCACTGACAGGTCGAAGAATCGAAGAGCAGCCATGCCATCGCTAATGTTACTTGTGATCTAGACCAAGCCAGACCTGGAGGTTCCCGTTATGATTTGGAAGCTCCGAACCATTTGAGGCTCTTTATCTCGAATCTGGATGCTTCGATGAGTTCGAATTCGGTGGATCAAGCTCAAGGCGCAACGTGCTTCTACGTTCTTTTCCCATGAGGAGCTCAGGAAGACCTGTAGCGTCAATTTTCTGTGCCTAGGATAACGAGACGCGCGACGCTTCTGATAACCAGCGAACCGGGGATATGTTGATGAGGCAATAGGCAGTCTGAGTTTAAGCACCCGAACAGACAGCCAGATGGTTTGAGCTATAATTTAAATCAGAAAGGGACGATAGTACTGTCATAATCTGGCTAGGCCCCAGGGAGAACTTACTTAAGTTTAAGCAGCGATACCAGCGCGAGAAAACAACTATAGTTTTTCCCCCGTGAAGATCCCAGGAAGACCTGTCACAGTGTCAATTATGCACCTAGGATAACGAGACATACAGTACTTCTGATAACCAGCGATGGGAAGAAGAAATGGGCAGTCGGAATCCCAGTAGCCGAAGATTTTGCGCAGCCGAATAGTTTAAGCCAGTTACTTACCACGTTGCAGATGCCTGCTGCATCATACTCCCCAGATTTTAGGGCGTGGACGAGGGAACACAGCCCGAGTTTCCGATCACGTGACTGAGGCGACGGCACCTGTTCCATGACGTTAGCAAATGCATTATTGTTTGCAAACTCGCCAAACTCACCCATCAACGTCGATCTTTGCAGGATCAATTTGTAGGAGCTTTTCGGCGACACGAACGACCACTGAGAAGGCTTCGTTGAGTTCGAAACGTCACGTGCGATATCATCGACAGTCAGGTTTGCTCTCCTTAGTGCGTATACATTGACGATGATTATATGTGTTGCACTTTCCACTCGAGTCGTCGCGCCAGTAAACATGGATTGGCTGACGAGGTGACTTGAGTGGTGAGTGCAAGGAAAGCAACGTCTACCGTATGCGTATATGTAGCTGAATTCATTAACACGTGACTTGCACGTGACCCAAGACTATTCGAACTTTGCAGGTTTAGACGCGTTATACTCGTCCGCCTGCCCACAGTTCGTCAGTAAGTAGCTGAACAGCTCAATTTATGCATATAGTCTGCTTTTTCGAAGGCACCACACACGACCTAGGCCCATTTTCGGTGACTACACCCCGGCTGCCAGCTCCTCGTCACTCGCAGAGTGCAGAAGCCGCACGCGCCGCTGCGCTACAAGCTGAGTTTAACTGACAAGGAATGGGTATGGGTACCAGACGAGAAAGACGGTTATCTCGCTGGCTGGGTACATCAAGAAGATGATGAGATTGCAGAAATGGTCATGGTCCTCTGGAGGCGAGGTATCTTCGTGTCATTGCTACTCGTAACGTACCCTTCTGAGATGAAGCGCGTCAGATTCGTCGAGTCCCTTTGTATGCACTATCCAAGATGAACCCTCCAAAGTTCGATCGTGTCGACAATATCGCAGATCTCACATTTTTAAACTGAAGCGAGCGTCGTGCATAATCTACGTTTCAAGGTATGGATCTGGAGCTATATATGTGAGTCATCTCTTTCTTTCCACTTTTCAACACATTCGTGATTGTCTCCACTCAACTTCTTACACACCTACTGAAACGCATCAAATAGACATACTCTGGCTTATTCTTGGTCGCTATCAATCCTAACCAGAACCTACCGCCGTATACAGATGCAATTATAACTCAGTATCGTAGTAAACGACGTGATGAGAATCCTCATATCTTCGCGGTTGCCGAGCGCGCATTGTTTAACATGGGGGAGGAACGTAAAAATCAGAGCATTCTCATAACGTCGGCCATTTTTGCATTTTGGCGATTCATGCATCTAATTGACCGTCCACAGTGGAGAATCTGGCGCAGGGAAGACCGAAAGCACGAAAAAAGTTATCCAATACCTTTCAGCCATAGCAACTGATGCGCATCCGCCCCATTCTTCACATTCACATTCTACTTCCATCTCATCTTCATTTCCCGTATCCCCACCATCGGGTCTGCCCAGAAGCAGCTCTTTCCGTACGAAAGCTACTCACGTCACCCTAGGTTTGCTCGAGCGACAAATTCTGCAAACGAATGCCATCCTTGAGGCATTTGGTAACGCGCAAACTCAGCGGAATGACAATTCGAGTAGATTCGGGAAGTTCATTAGGATTAGCTTTGCTCCAGACGGGAGTATAGCCGGAGCGAACATTGACTGGTACCTGCTGGAGAAGAGTCGAGTAGTGGCTCGGAGCGTTGCAGAGCGCAACTTCCACGTATTTTACCAGTTACTATCAAGTGGGGGGTCATTATAGGGCAAGTCCTTACAATCTCCTCTCAGTAGTTGTTTCGGATATTCATGCGTCTGCAGACACTCTTCTATTGCATCAACCTCTAGAAGAATATGAATTTCTCAACAAAAGCAGGCGAGAGGTCGATGGCGTCAACGATCGCGAAGACTGGGACGCACTGATAGTGCGTTCTCGTGAATGTGAAGCTTTCGATATCTGACTAACGCTCCCCCTAGAATGCTCTTGATATTGTTGGGTTCACGGTTGCCGAACAATTCGACCTTTTTCGCATCCTCGCGGCAATTCTCCATATCGGAAACATCGTCATCCGCTCTACGAAGGTCGGATGATGCATTCATGCCAGATCCGTCGCAAGCCGAGCGCGTCTGCCATTTGCTCGGTATTCCCATAGCAGAGTTCACACGAGCCACTTTACGGCCCAGGGTTCTTGCTGGACGTGAGTGGGTAACGTAGGCGAGGACGCGACAACAGTCTCTTGCCGAACTCGCGTCCTTGAGCAAGTTGTTGTACGAGAAGTCCTTCAGTGCGCTGGTCGAGCGCATCAACCGTGCACTAGATCGTCCGTCCTCTAAGTCGACATTCATTGGCGTTCTCGACATTTCAGGTTTCCAGATCTTCGATATCAGCACGTACGAGCAGTTGCTTATCAACTACACCAACGAGAAGCTGCAGCAGTTTTTCAATCACCATATGTTCGTCCTCGAGCAAGAGGAGTATTCCAGGGAAGGTATAGAATGGGATTGTGTGAACTTCGGGCTGGACTTGCAGCCGACTATCGACCTCATTGAGAGCAGTGGGGACGACATCGGCATTCTCAGTTGCTTAGACGAAGGAATGTATCATGCCCAAAGCCACCGATCTCACCTTCACGGAGAAAGTCCGTTCGATTTGGAGCGGAGAGCTGCGAGCAGGAGAAACCTCATCCAGGTCGTACGAAATATACCCTACCGAAATTCGACCAAGGCTTCATCGTCACACACTACGCTGGCAAAGTCGAGTACCGCACGGACGGGATGATTGGAGAAGAACAAGGATCCCCTGAATGATAATCTGACTCGTGTACTGGCATCATCATCCGAACCTTACGTCGCATTCGCTCTTCCAAGATTTTACTGGAGTCTTCGCCGACATCCCCTCATCTTCCAACGCTGGGTTCTCCGCAGGGAAACAGCGCACCATCAAGAGAGGGGCGTTTAGAACTGTCGGGCAACGGCATAAAGAGCAATTAGCCCTTCTCATGGCGCAGTTGCAAGCAACACAACCGCATTTCGTACGTTGCATTGTGCCCAACGTCAACAAGAAACCTGGAAGGGTAGACGTGCCTCTCGTCCTAGATCAATTACGCTGCAACGGTGTTTTGGAAGGCATTCCGCATAGCACGTCTTGGTTATCCCAATAGGCTCCCTTTCGTCGAATTCCGCCAACGCTATGAGATCATGACTCCAGGAGTCATTCCTCGTGGATATATGGACGATCGTAAAGCATGTATTCGTATCGTGGAAGTATTGGGTCTTGATACCGAATTGTTCCGGGTAGGAACCTCCAAGATATGCTTCAAGGCCGGAGTCCTTGCAGAATCTTGAGGAGCGGTGGGACACCCTTTTATTCGACATCTTTTCGAGACTACAGGCTGTCGCCAGGATGTTCTCCGCTCGAAGGCAGATGAAGAAGATTCTCCTTGAAGTGCGCTTTCACAGTTGTCTGTTGCATCGTCCCTAACTTTACCCTTGCAGAAAACCATTCCAGGCTTAGAGTCAGGATCAGAAGAGGCTGAACTCCCGCATGGATTCTTCGACGATGTAAGTCTTCATGTTGTAGCAGATTTCGTGCACGTCTTACTACACTTCCAGTTTGATACACGCCCCTCACCTCCACGCAACAATCGCACCGCTCGCACCACTCCGCAGCACCGCATCAAGAACATCATTAACCGTTTCTTGTCTCGCTCCTCCACTCCTCAGGATCGTACTCACAACCCTCGTAGGATTCCCATCGTAGACATCTTCGCAACACGAGGTAAATATGTAAGTTTTACTGAGCTTCCGAATGCACCCGCTGTTGATGCTCTACAGCGTACTGCGAACGCCATCACCGGGAAAAGGCATTTAGTGCAGCGACCACGTCCTCCTCGCCAGCAAGCCCACAGTCCTATCGTTGATGCCGGGACATCTAATGTTAAGGGTGGGGCCACACCTGCGACATTGCTGACAACAAGTACAGATGCTCATCCTACAACTAGCAGACCCGCTACCCCGGACGCTGAACGTGTCCCGGAGATAAGCTGCTTGGCGACCCTTGTCAGGTGCTTCCCGCGTCTCTCACGAACCCGACAAACAGGTCCTGCTGTTTCCCCCTAGGTTCCTCTTCGCTCCGAGACTCGCCACTAGTATTGTTTGCTCGCTTTTTGTGATTTTGGCACTTTGCATCAAGATGATAATGATGATTAATATTGATTATATCCCTTGCAGCTTCCAATCAAGTGCCGCTGGTTTGCGACTATCCATTATTTGTGAACGAGGGGACTTGAGTGGCAAGTGCAAGGAAGGCCCCCTGCCGTGTACGAAGTGTTGATATGATCCATGATTCAACCTATATCGATAGTTATCCAGGCATGCTGTCGTCAGTCTATCGCATCGATATAGTCGATAAAGTGCGAGTTTCTGAGATCTAGACAGGGTCAACTCAGATCTCCCACATCATATAGCGGAGCGGTTCATATAGGTTTACGTCTGAACCAAGATGTCTGCAGGATCAAAGATCTTGCCCATGCAGAAGGCCATGCACATGTCATGGATGGCCAGCATGCAGGTGTGCGTCACTCCTTGCCTCCTAGCTTACTCGCAACGCCTATCCACCTGAGCGAGCAGCACTCGCATCGCGAGGCCTGGTTCCCTGGTCAAGGTGAGCCTGATGGGAACAATACCAACATCATTACGTACATCAAATCACGCACTGATATCGACTGAGCTGTGTACGGCAGCAGAAATGTGCAACCCACGCGGCGCCAGACTCAGAGGTTCTCGACTCATGTAGAAGCTGTGAACTCTTCGAGGCTTGTTTTCCTGTGACACTCACAGTGAAGGTATTTCCAGGAAGACATGCAGCATTCTGTGCCTAGGATAACGAGACGTACAGTACTTCTGATAACCAGCGATATGACGAGGAAGTCGAAGTTTAACGGTCTCTGCGCAGCCGAATAGTTTAAGCCAGCACGAGAAATCAACTCGACTTGCAGACCGATTTGTTCATGATTCTCCCAGGCAACCCGTGATGTTATGCAAAGTTTAGATTCCGATGTGTTCTAATGGGAAAATACAGATGGGTGTATGAGATATTCGTACGTCGTCCAGGAACAGGTAAAGTAACAACAACTATAGTTTTTGAATGACAATGGCGGAAGCAGCACCCCCCTAGACGAGATATATTTGAGTAACGCGACGGCATCGATAAGCACAAGTTACTTACCCCGTTGCAGATGCCTGCTGCACCATACTCCCCAGATTTTAGGGCGTGGATGAGGGACACCACGATACGAGAACCCGAGTTTCCGATCGCGTGACCGAGTGCGACAGCACCACTGTCAAATGACATTAACAAATGCAATATTGTGTGCAAACTCGCCAAACTCACCCATCAACGTTGATCTTTGCGGGATCGATTTGTAGGAGCTTTTCGGCGACACGAACGACCACCGAGAAGGCTTCGTTGAGTTCGAAACGTGCGATATCATCGACAGTCAGGTTTGCTCTCTTTAGTGCTTCCGGAACAGCGACGGCAGGAGCCATGGGGAAGTCGATGGGCTCAACACCTGCATCGGCGTATGCTGTGGAAACGACATATCAGGCGATGTGCAGTCAGGCAAAGAGTAAGACTTACAGATCACTTTGGCGAGGGGTTTTATGCCGAGCTCCTTTGCTTTCTCTGCTGACATCAAGATCAGAGCAGAGGCACCATCATTGAGGTTTGAAGAGTTGGCAGCAGTGATGCGGCCACCTGCTTTGAACGCTGATTTGAGGGAGGGGACCTTGTCGAAGATGACTTTCTTGTACTCCTCATCTTCCTTGATGACGGTGTCGCCCTTCTTGCCCTTGATGGTGACAGGCGCTATCTCGGCGTTGAAGACGCCCTCTTTCCATGCGCGATCAGCACGCTTGTACGAGGCGATTGCGTGCTCGTCAAGTGACTCTCGGCTGATCTCGTACTTCTCTGCAGTGGCCTCGGCACAGTTGCCCATTGCGAAGTTGTTGGAGACATCCCAGAGACCGTCTGTCTCAACCGAGTCTTTGGTCTCGAATTTTCCGAACAGAGGGTTCGTGCGGGGAAGGAGGTAACTAGAAGACATGTTAATCTCATGCAAAGAAGCAATGGAGTGACTACTGACGGAGCGTTGCTCATACTCTCCATACCACCAGCGGCAACTACGCTCTTGTAACCGGATTCTATGCTTTGAGCAGCAAGCATGATCGACTTCATGCCGCTAGCACAAACTTTGTTGATAGTGGTAGCGTCAGATGAGACCTTCATGCCGCCAGCGAGTGCTACTTGACGTGCAGGTGATTGACCGACACCAGCCTGGACGACATTGCCGAAGTAGATCTCTTCGACTACTGAGGGATCGACTTTCGACTGCTCGAAAGCATGCTTGAGGGCGACAGCGCCAAGTTGGGGAGCGGTCAAGGTCTTGAGTGATCCGTATAAGGATCCGACAGGCGTACGCGACGCAGCAACAATGACAGCTTCATGAGCAGGCTGGAACAAGCTGTTAGTGATTGATGTGTAAAATATAAGATGGAGACATACCATTTTGTGGGAGGGATGAAATAGTAAGTTGGGATGAAAATGTGGATAAAAGACGCGTTGCGATGATCATGATCGATGGGCTGGCTTTTTATGTGACAAGCAGATGGGACCCGAAACAGATTATTCGGGATCGAGGAAAAGATAATCGATCGTACGACGTTGTCAGGCCGTGCAGTATCGTATGATAGTTAGATTTCATTGTACGTCATTAGAGTCAAAGTCGCTTCCCTTCCACAAGCATTAATGGGGTAGTGGTAACCTGGGTCGTTGCCATCGACCCGCCGGGGGTTCGATTCCCTCTTAATGCATATATCATTTACTAAGGGAATATTTTTGCCCAACAGAAGTCATCCAATATACTCCGAGCGTCCAATGTATCCATCCTCCCAATGGTTAGGTACTACACGCAGGTCGGCTGGCTGCAGAATAACCCCATTCGCTTACTCTAATCACATGCAATCTTATTCACAAATGGCTCATCAAATCATCAGCCATATCCCTAGCACAACGAGCGGCAGGCGAAACAATGAATATCGAACTAACGAATGTCTGACTAATTACCTAGTCCGACGTAACGACCGACAACCGCAATTCGGAGAATGCATAAATGAGGAAAGCAAAACGATCGCCGTCTACATGACGACACAACATGCATTTTGCTAGTGAGGCTGTCAGACCGAGCCACTCGTACATAAAGACAAATGCTAACCTTCTTAGCTGTCTTGTAGAACATCTTGCTCTGCGTGGATAGGGCATTTGATCGCTCCACAAGGTTATCCAACTTCTCCCCGCGTTGGAGAACAGACTCGATAGTCTTGTGCTATAATACACCGTCATACCGATAAAACAACGGAACAATTCTTGCAGCGAGGGAAGGATTTACCAAAACAATCTTCGTCTCATCTAGCTCTTGTTGTACTCGCATAATTGTGTCAGCTTGCCGAGGATCCTGGTACTTCTGAATGTAGGTCTGGATCTCTGGGAATGATATCGACCCGGGGTTTGTGAAGGAAGATTGGGGGACTTTGGTAGTGAAATCATCAAGCAGCTTTGTCAGAAGAGAGAATGCAGGTCGAACGGGGTATTCATGGTCAGTAATAATGATGGCTAAGAAGGGAGTGAGCCCGATAGCTTCATCACATCCAGAGCTTTGACTGACCTGAAAGCTGCTCTGCACCACCCCTGTTGTACACATGTGCGGTGTAATTGTTCTCTTGTACACTCTGTCGTTGACCCTGAGGAGTTCTCTCCACGACCGTCTTGGTGAAGAACGTTAAAAACTCGCTGACGGAACTTCTCTGGTAGAACGAGAAACTAGAGACATCTGACGTAGAGCTAAGAACTGAACAAGGTCCTGAGGAGGGTGCAAGAACAACTGAGAGCGAGAATATCTTCATGGTCGTGGATGAGAAGAAAGGCAGCGCGGCGCTGTAATAAGTTATAACTGCGTAATAGTCGGGGCTCCGATTACATACGACTACTAAATACCAGGATACCACTTTGAGCAAATCGACTTGCTGAGCTAGCGCTACTTATGCTCACAGAATCCAACCAAAGACGATGTTATCTATCGCTCAGGGGGATATCAAGGCGACTCCTTCACCGTCGTGTGCGGACTCGAGCGTTCAATATAAAACTGTGATTTCGTACTTGGTGAGCCTCAACAAGATCAACCTTACTCAGGCTCACTCTCTCAGAAGGCCGTCCAAGACAGGACTACTTCATCGCAAGATGTGGCAGGCTTCCTTATGTTTGCAATGTCCAGGTGTATGGTCTTGTTAGGCCTTCCGAGGCCTCGTCAGGTCTGGGCACCTTTGCTCAGTGCTGATCGATGATCGGTTGAATGGTCAGCCAGTGTGCAACTTGCCGATGGTAGCCGACGTCCGAAAGTTGCCTGTGCAACCACACCTTTCACAATTTCAAACAGGCCAAAATCTGCGGTGGCCTTTCAACAGGGTCCTGGGTCAGATACAGTTTATGACTGCAATATTCAATAGTTGCCGCGCAGTGCCGTACCCTAATCTAATCACACTGCTGCACCCTGTCACATTTGCCCAACCTCAGATTGGCCTCATGGAAGCCTTCCGAGTACGCAAGTTGCTAGCTCACCCTACGTAGTTCGCTTTGGAGCCATGGAAGGTAACAAAGACGAAGCTATCAAATGCCTTTCCATCGCACAAAAACACAGAAACGCTGGCGACCTCACTTCCGCTCGCAAATTTTGCCAAAAATCTATAAACATGTTCTCGACACCCGAGGCTGCAAAGCTTCTTGAGTCTATCGAGGCCTTGGAGGCATCTAGATCATCCTCGTCAGCCAGGGCAGGCCCTTCGACGTCAAATGGGAATCAGCAGGCTTCTTCGTCATCTACAGAGACACGTTCATCCGGCGCTAAGCGTCGGGGTACCGATAGTGCGAATGCTACTGCTGAAGAGACGCGCGAATTTACTGCTGAGCAGTTGAAAGTTATCAAACGGGTGAAGGCATGCAAGGTCACGGAGTACTATGAGATTTTGTCTGTCAAGAACAATTGCGAGGAGGATGAGATCAAGAAGGCATACAGAAAGGTACATTAGCATGATATTGTGTGTTGTCTGATGTACGTTCTAACGTTGTGATTGGTCACAGCTTGCCCTTGCGCTACATCCTGACAAGAATGGCGCTCCTGGAGCAGATGAAGCATTCAAGAGTACGTCTAGTATTGCCCTCACGTACGCAAAGCGTCTGACAGAAACTTTTCAGTGGTTTCCACAGCCTTTCAAGTGCTCTCAGGTATGCTGGCTGATTTAATGCACTGCGCCTCTCTGACATTCACCCAGATCCCCAGAGGCGAGCAGCTTACGACCAATTCGGGCCAGACCCGAAATCGCAATTTAACGGCACGTCCTCGGAAGGTTCGGATGGCTTGGTACTTATAAACTTCATACTCTTCATACTCGTGTTGTTTTGTTGTCGTCGGGTGCGGGGGTATAGCAAGTGACTCAAAACAGCGCGCGCTGGTCGTGTTCGGCGATGTGCAGAGGCTTTGGGGCGGGCTGATGAAACTCAAAACGGGAGGTACCTTCCAGGTAATGTGCAAAGGCAGAGGTAATGCGCAAAATCTCCAGAGAGCTCGAACATCACACTTAGGTTTCAACTTGCTTGGAAAAATTCAGGCATATGTAGACTAAGTACCTAGAAATGATGTACTATACTATTACCAGTTGGTAGTGTCTCAGCGTGAAACAGTCATTTGCAACCTTACACAATGCGTGGCTTTCGTCACCTGTTCACAGAATCCTGCCAAAGACCATGATATCGTTCGCCGCAGGGGTCTCAAGGAGGCTCTTTCACCTTCGCGTGCAGACTCGGGCGTTCAATGCTCTCCATGACACTTTTTCTTTGCGGTTGGCCAGTAGAAACTACCTCCGGACAAGGAAGCTTTTGCTTATTTTCTATGATACTGGCAGCGTACTGGTTGTCTTTGGAATGTTCACTGCTGTTATTCTGCTCTTCTGGACTATGGTGTCACTGTTATCTTCCGCGTTCCTGCGACTGACTGCATCAGATAGTACTTCGGCATCTTTGCTGAAAAGAGCTGTCGGAGCCACGAGTCGCACAAAGACATATTCTGGCACCGCGCATGCTATCAATCCAATTGTGAGTCAAATGCATACACCCTTGTATGGGATCGCTTCCAGCATCCGTCTGGAGTGCTCAATGCTCACTTCACTCCTAGATCCCTGGCTTAACCGTTCCCCTAACGCATCTACCACTGATTCTGTTCTCCCTTTGCACCAGTCAAATTGTCCATGAAATTGGGCACGCTATCACTGCAGCAATGTATGTCTCCCCCACATACGACGTAGTCCATTGGCCAGAGCTTTGTGTTTTTGCCTAGTCATCGGATTCCTATCCTAGCCGCAGGAGCATCTATCACCCTCATTTTCCCCGCCGCATTTGTGACGTTGCCCTCTGCAAGAGTAGAAGAACTGTCTTCCCTCGATCGTTTGCGGGTCGTAACTTCAGGCTGTTTCCATAACCTGACCCTCTGGCTGATTCTGTTGGGGGCAGCCTGGACCGGTATCGGACAGTGGTCATTGTCAGTAGGTTATGAAGATGTTTCTCCTCGAGGGCTAATCGTGGCCCATATTGAAGCCGTCAGTATGATGGCGTTGTATTGCTTCGCTATCCTTGCTGAATATCTTTTAGGATTCTCCTCTGAGCATGCATCTTCCTGTTGGATCTTTCCTAACTACACTTGATGATCTTCCGTTGAACTCATCTCGCGACGCATGGTCCACTTATCTATTGGAACCCACTCCGGCTATCTACAAGCAAGGGTGGTGTGTGAATGAGTCGCAGCTTAGTGGTGAGCACCATACTCTGCGTCATCCCACCTGACTCAAAGCCTCCTCAGACGATCAACAGTGTTGCGTGGATACTGATAACCGAACATCATCATTGTCCTGTTTCGCGTCGTTCGCAAGTACAATGGAGACGTATTGCACCGATCCGGTAGCCATACTGTCAAAAATGCAAAATCGATGCGACTCCTCAACTTTGTGTCTGGAGTCACAGTCGTGCGTCAAACCAACGGGAGACCGAGACCTCTTACGGATTACGGTGCACCATCAAGAGACAAGCACTAACGACGATCGTGTCGTGCTTTGGAGTGGCCCCAAGTATGAGGTTTGGGAGCAAGGTATGACCCACAAATCCAGCATCTAGCGATCGTTAGCATTCACTTTGATCAGTTCAAACCACGCATCTCGCACCGCGTTTCGATATTTTACCACTAGGACTACCCCTCTTACTCGCAGATTTCTTCCAGTATGTCCCTTATACCAACCACTGCTACATGACTGACTTTGGGCAGGTATCTGAAGCTCACCAATCTTTCACTGTATCTTCTCAACGCACTACCCCTGCCTGCACTGGACGGCTCTCAATTGCTGATAATTTTACTGGAAATGGCCTTCACTAGATGGCTTTATAGACCCTCAACCATGATCGACATCGAGGCACTGAGAACTCGTGGAGGTCGTCCACATGAAAGGAGAGTGCAGCAGGTACTTCGAACTTTCGTAATGATCGGTACATGCACGCTTCTTGGCACATGCGTCATGCTGGGTATCATAGAATGGATGAGTGTATGAATCAAAGGCTGTATAAGTCAAGCGAGGCGAAAGCTATCTGTCTTTGTTCGCATAATAAGACAAGTACGTGTGACCTGCATGCATATTCATCATATGTAGGTCGGTGATGCATAGATCGATCGGTGCCCCTCCAATGCAACGCATACATCATGCTAGAAGTGTGAGATGAAAGAACGTCGTCACTTCTTCTTCGGTGTTGCGCCGAGCTCTACCACGCTCAAGCCTGCACCCACATGTCAGGCAATAAAACGTGCCAGAAAGACTCATCACGCACCTGGGGGCAAGCTCTGCTTGAGTTTCTCAGCCTTCTCTGGGTCGTCCACCGAAAGGGTGTACAAGTATCGTGAACACCGCACTTTGAACTTAGTTTGCACCTTTCCGGATGCAGATTTTGCGGCGATTTTTTTTATACGGGCCTCTAGAAGGATGGAGCAATGCGTGAAATGTCATGTAAGATCAGTACGCATCAAGTCAACGTGTTGTTGAAGTAAAACAACTGTGTAAACGCACGGGAAGCATCCTTCCGCCGCGCAATCTCGATGAACTGCTTGATATCCCGGATTTCTTTAGGCTAACATGAAAATAAGCAATGATACCAAGAGAGCTGAATAGCCAGTGGATCTGAGCGCACCATGACGGAGTACTGAGTCTTGAAGTCTTACTTACCATATCTAACGATGTCCAGCTAACTGGTGTAGAGCGGTGGCTGAACCTTATTTTGATAGCTATTCGCAAGTTCCCGCTCGACTAGTACTTATGTACGTATACTTACTTACGTTTTCGCGACTCCCTAAGTCAATGCACGTCATTCTCGAGCAGCATATGGAGTAGATTTATGTCTATAAAATACATATGTGTTTCGTGTTGAAATAGTTATACAGAGTCCAGACTCGCAGCGTCTCAGATGTGACAATGACATGAATCAATAATTCGGAAATGAACAATTGAACGCTATGGAGCTGCCCTCCGAGGAGATCCCGTCGAGACGCTTGAGCCTCCAAGGGTAGAGCTTCCGTCACTAACGACTGACATCGGGCGATTGAGGCGGGAGCGCAGTCGTTCCACTTCACGTTGCAGGCTAAAATGTGACACGTAAACATCTCACTCTCAATTGAAATTGTCGAGATCGTCGCTTACTTCAACACCGTCTGCTTGGATTCCACGGCCTCTCGCTCCATGCGACGTTTCGCGCGCTCAAGTTCACTCTCCCTTGATTGCTATTGATGTAATTAGCCAAGCGACCAGACAAAATGAAAGTAGGACTGACGACTTTGTCAAGCGTTTGCCGGAGCGAAGTTATTTGGCCCTCAGAGACTTTTCGCTCCTCCTCCAATTTGATTTGGTGCCTTTCCCTTTCAGCTAACTGCAATTGTACGTCACGAACTGCCTTGTCAGAGCTATGTAAGCGGTTGGAGTCGAGTTTCTCGCTTGATGCTTGCTTGAGTTGAGTAGTGAGCTCATCGATACGACTCTGCAGCTGCCTGACAGTGGAGGATGGGTGAGGGGAATTTGTGTATGACTTCGTTTCAAGGTCAACGACGCGGACGTTCAGGTCCTTGACCTGCTTCTCCAGCTGGGCCTGTACGACAAAGTGAGCATGTTAGAGAACGTGTTCAGGTGCTTACTTACATTCATTCTATCTAGCTCCGTATTCTCGACGCGGGTCCGATCGAGTTCCAGTTGGCTTTCGTTGGCGTGTGCTTCAGCTCTCTTCAATCGTTCAAAGGCCATCGCTACACGATCTTCTTGTTCCTCTAGAGACCGCTCAAGATCTTGTTTCTTTAGCTGCAACTTCTGTAGTTCTCGATCTGAAGTCATCTTCGTTGCATCGACATGGTCAAGCTTGATGCCTTCAAGTTCTGCCTGCAGAGAGCGGCGTGCCTTCTGTAGCATCGCTCGGTCCGCCTCAGCATCATTGAGAACGCCTCGAAGTTCCCGAACTTGCGAGTGAAGTGACACGATCTGCGCTTGTTGGTCGGATTGAGCAGTAGTTGATGCTTCAAAAGCTTTAGTTAGATCGGCTATCTTCGTCTCCATCCGTTCTTTCTCCCTGTTCCAGGCACCTCCGTTGTAGACCTCGTCATCGAATCTTAGCTGCAGCTCGTCGTAGTCGGAGTGGACTTTCCGGCTGTCTTCTCGTAGCCTGGTCATTGTATCTCGCTGCGCTTGCAACTCTGCGATGAATGCGGTTCGGTGATGCACACCTAAAAGTTCCTACTTACGCACCTTCGCTCAATTGCGCCAGTTCAGCTGCATCCTCTCATTAGAAAGGATCTTATACGAAAGTTAACACCAACCTTGATATTTCTTTCGCGTCTGGTCGCCAGCGAAATCACGTTCTGCGAGGTCTTTCTGGTGCTGCTGACGTTCATCTTGCAGTTGCTGTACCAGACGGTGCCTGTGAATGCCTAGCTCAGAAGATTCTCTGTCCTCAGCCTCGATCTGAGCTTCCAATTCACGGAGCCTCTGGTGAGTGTCCTGGAAACGCTCTTCAAGGGCCTTCTTTTCTGCCACCAGGTCGCCGTGTGTCTTTTCTAAGTCACTGAGGGCGCGTCGAACTATCTTGGCGGTCAACATTGTTCAGGGCGGAAGAGTTCAAAATTTACCAGAGGATTCTGTTTTGGCCTTTGCTTCTGCGGTAGCAAGTGCTTTGTTAGCCTTCTCCTCAAGGAACTTGGCAGCCCTTTCAGAAGCCCTGCGCTCCGCCTGATCCACCCCGCCTCCCCTGGCGAAATCCTCTACCTCCCGGGTGAGGCTTGCCTTGGCTTTCTCCAAAGATCGGATATAGACAGCGTCCTTCTGCAGCTGCTCCTGCGCTTCTCTGAGTTGCTGATCGGTTACCTTCTTGGCCTTCTCCAAAACGTAGACGTGTTCAACGATCGTCTTATCCTGTTTGCTCTCCATTTGCTTGAGCTCCCACTCCCGAGCCTTGAGATCAGTGATTGCCTTGTTAAGATCATGGTCGTACTTCGCAATGCGCTCCTGGTGCTCCTTTCTCTGGGATAACATGCCTTGTTGAAGTTCCTTGCGCTTGGCTGACTCGGATTCCAGTTGCTTCCTCAAGGTTTCCAACTGGCGTTCCCCAGCGTGAGCATCTCTTTCCATCTGTAAAATCGTATCCTCGATCTCGTTATATTTTGTCTGAGCAGCGTGGAGTTGTCGTTCCAGGATCTAAGAAAGTAGAAGTAAGTTTTATACAATCCAACAAATGATTGCCTAATTACCTCTTTCGCCCTCGATGTCTCCGCTAACCGGCCATCTGCGTCAATCTGACGAGACCGCAATGCCTGCAGTTCTGATTCGAGCATTCTTTTGGCTTTTTCCAGATCCACGACCATTGCCTCTGCCTTCGACGACCGTTCCTTCAAGCGTCGCTCGCGTTCCAAAAGAGAGCTGTGAGTCGAATCCAGCTGCTTGTGCTGACGCCGCATCTCGTCTAGCTCGGTAACTAGCTTGCTTTCCTTGTCGAGAGTAGTTTCACGTAGAACACTGAGCTCCGTGTTTAATTCGGAAGATTGACGACGGAGCTCGGCGAGTTCTTCCTCTTTGCTTTTCTCGACTTCGAGTCGGCGGGCGTCTTCAGAGGTCTTGGTCTCCATGATCGTGCGGAGCTCGTCTAGCTCGTCTTGGAGTTTCGCCTTGGCGGAAACTGTACGATCTAAATCGGCCTTGGAGGCATGAATTTCCGCTCGCTGTCTGTCAGACGTAGCTTGGAGTTCGATGATCTCTTTTTGTAGTCGAGAACATTCGTCTGCGGATGCAGTGATGTTAGAAAGTAGTTGAGAGTTTTGGTCCTCCTTCTTCTGGATCATAGCAGAATACTCTGCGGTTGTGCGAGACATCTCTACTAGCTGCTGTTTGAGATGCCTGGAGCTTCTGTCCAGTTGGTCGACCTTGCTGCTGAGCGATTCTCTGCATACAATAAATCAGACCAAAAACCACAATGAGTTTGAGGAGCTCACTTAGTTTGAAGTTCCACACCGAGTTTTGCCTGCAAGTCGCTCACTGAAGCCGCAGAACGCTCTTTCATGCGCGCAAAGTCTTCGTCCCGCTGCGAAACAAGGCTTGTGAGGTCTTCATTAGCTTTCTGGAGAGCCTGGTTTTCCTGCAGCAGCTCAACCATGCCGCGCTCCTGCGTTAGTAGGATGTCCGAAAGTTCCGCTTCTTTAGTTCGCCAATCATTTTGTTCACCCTCCATGCGAACAAGATGCTCCGCGGCCTGGTCGAACGCGATGCGCAGAGTGTCATGCTTCTCATCTCCCTCCTTCTGAAGATGTAGGGCGCGATCCAGTTGAGAATCGAGGACGTCGAGGTCGGCGTGTAACGCTGCAATCTCTTCTTCAAGTTCTGCTTCCCTCTTTTTGCTTCTTTCCAACATAGCATCTTTGTCGAGGGCAAGTGCACGTTCTGCTTCCAAATCTTCGATGATCTTTCGTTTCTCCGCCTGGAGAGTCATCTTCACGTTCTCCAGGTTTTCCCGTTCTCGATGATCGCGCTCCGCTCTCTCCTTGACGAGTTGCAACTCAACATCTTTCCGCCTGAGCTCTTCATCGTTTCGTGTCGCGGCGAGTAACGGACGAACCTGGTGAAGTAATCAAGTATTGCCCTGAAAACAGACAAGAAAGGCCTTACTTTCGTATACAATTGCCACCATGGCCAGTCTCGCAGTTCTCCGTACACACGAGCGTTGCGCTGGATTATTCGCATGGCCACTGCACGATTGAGAATTTTCTTCATCTGTCTTCGGGCAGAGAACTTCCTGGCAACTGCCTGCAGTCTCGAAAAGACGTCGAATAAGAGGGCATCCCGCCGCTCCTCAAGATCTGCAAGGACTCCGGCCTTGAAGAATATCTTGGAGGTTCCTACCCGGAATAATTCGGTATCGAGACCCAATGCTTCCACAATACGAATACACGCTTTACGACCGTCCATATATCCACGAGGAATGACTCCTGGAGTCATGATCTCATAGCGTTGGCGGAACTCGACGAAAGGGAGCCTATTGGGATAACCAAGACGTGCTATGCGGATGCCTTCCAAAACACCGTTGCAGCGTAATTGATCTAGGACAAGAGGCACGTCTACCCTTCCAGGTTTCTTGTTGACGTTGGGCACGATGCAACGTATGAAATGTGGTTGCGTTGCCTGCAACTGAGCCATGAGAAGGGCTAATTGCTCTTTATGCCGTTGCCCGACAGTTCTGAACGCCCCTCTCTTGATGGTGCGCTTTTTCCCTGCGGAGAACCCGGCGCCGGAAGATGAGGGGATGTCGGCGAAGACTCCAGTAAAATCTTGGAAGAGCGATGCGACGTAAGGTTCGGATGATGACGCCAGTACACGAGTCAGATTATCATTCAGGGGATCCTTGTTCTTCTCCAACCACCCGTCCGTGCGGTACTCGACTTTGCCAGCGTAGTGTGTGACGATGAAGCCTTGGTCAAATTTCGGTAGGGTATATTTCGTACGACCTGGATGAGGAGGTTCTCCTGCTCGCAGCTCTCCGCTCCAAATCGAATGAACTTTCTCCGTGAAGGTGAGATCGGTGGCTTTGGGCATGATACATTCTTCGTCTAAGCAACTGAGAATGCCGATGGCGGTCCCACTGCTCTCAATGAGGTCGATGGTCGGCTGCAAGTCCAGCTTGAAGTTCACATAATCCCATTCTATACCTTCCCTGGAATACTCCTCTTGCTCGAGGACGAACATATGGTGATTGAAAAACTGCTGCAGCTTCTCGTTGGTGTAGTTGATGAGCAACTGCTCGTACGTGTTGATATCGAAGATCTCGAAGCCTGCGATGTCGAGAACACCGATGAACGTCGACTTAGAGGACGGACGATCTAGTGCACGGTTGATGCGCTCGACCAGCGCACCGAAGGACTTCTCGTACAACGACTTGCTCAAGGACGCGAGTTCGTCAAGGGACTGTTGTCCCGTCCTCGCTTGCGTCACCCACTCACGTCCAGCGAGAACCCTGGGCCGTAAAATGGCTCGTGTGAACTCTGCTATGGGAATACCGAGCAAATGGCAGACGCGCTCGGCTTGCGACGGATCTGGCATGAATGCATCATCCGACTTCGTAGAGCGGACGACGATGTTTCCGATATGGAGAATTGCCGCAACAATGCGGAAAAGGTCAAATTGTTCGGCAACCGTGAACCCAACAATATCAAGAGCATTCTAGAGGGGCGTTAGTCAGATATCGAAAGCTTCACATTCACGAGAACGCACTATCAGTGCGTCCCAGTCTTCGTGATCGTTGACGCCATCGACCTCTCGCCTGCTTTTGTTGAGAAATTCATATTCTTCTAGAGGCTGATCTAGTAGAAGAGTGTCTGCAGACGCATGAATATCCGAAACAACTACTGAGAGGAGATTGTAAGGACTTGCCCTTTAATGAGCCTCCACTTGATAGTAACTGGTAAAATACGTGGAAGTTGCGCTCTGCAACGCTCCGAACCACTACTCGACTCTTCTCCAGCAGGTACCAGTCAATGTTCGCTCCGGCTATACTCCCGTCTGGAGCAAAGCTAATCCTAATGAACTTCCCGAATCTACTCGAGTTGTTGTTTCGTTGAGTTTGCGCGTTACCAAATGCCTCAAGGATGGGATTCGCTTGGAGAATTTGTCGCTCGAGCAAACCTAGACGACCCTTGGCGGTAAAATGGCCTCCAGTGCTGTTGGATGCAACGTGAGTAGCTTTCGTACGGAAAGAGCTGCTTCTGGGCAGACCGGAAGGTGGGGATGCGGGGAATGAAGATGAGATGGAAGTAGAATGTGAATGTGAAGAATGGGGTGGATGCGCATCAGTTGCTATGGCTGAAAGGTATTGGATAACTTTCTTCGTGCTTTCGGTCTTCCCTGCGCCAGATTCTCCACTGTGGACGGTCAATTAGATGCATGGATCACCAAATAGCAAAAATGGCCGACGTTATGAGAATGCTCTGATTTTCACGTTCCTCCCCCATGTTAACCCATGCGCGCTCGGCAACTGCGAAGATATGAGGAGGATTCTCATCACGTCGTTTACTGCGATACTGAGCTATAATTGCATCTGTGTACAGCGGTAGGTTCTGGTAAGGGTTGATAGCGACCAAGAATAAGCCAGAGTATGTCTGTTTGATGCGTTTCAGTAGGTGCGCAACAGGTCGGGTGGGATGATCATGAATATGTCCGAGAAAACGTCGAAATAAAGAGAATACTCACATATATAGCTCCAGATCCATACCTTAAACGTAGATTATGCACGACGCTCGCTTCGTTTAAAAATGTGAGATCTGCGATATCGTCGACACGATCGAACTTTGGAGGGTTCATCTTGGATAGTGCATACAAAGGGACTTGACGAATCTGACGCGCTTCATGTCAGAAGGGACGTTACGAGTGACAATGACACGGAGATACCTCGCCCCCAGAGGACATGACAATTTCTGCAGTCTCATCATCTTCTTGGTGCACCCAGCCAGCGAGATAACCGTCTTTCTCGTCTGGTACCCACACCCATTTCTTTTCATTAAACTCAGCCTGTAGCGCAGCAGCGCGCGCGGCTTCTGCACTCTGCGAGGAACGAGGAGCTGGCATCAGCCGAGGGTATAGGCAACCAAAAGTGGGTATGGCTTGTAAGCTGTCAGGATGATCGAATAACCTCGGGGATGAGTCCAGGTAAGTACAAGGTGGCGGCTGAATGAGCTGTTAACGTTCCTCGGAGTGATGGTGGTGAATAAGGCGTAACGCGCCTTGTCAAAGAGTTGAAATCCTTCACGCAGTTGGGTAGTATGCTCACGAACAGGTCATGGATAAACAGGTCATGGGCTCGGTGGGTTTGGCTTCCTACTGCGATCACTTGAACCAGCGACCCTAATTAGGAAAGTACTCTATGCAATCGTCATATACTCATTGCATATGATGTCTCCCAACGTGTTTAAACTTGAAGTTTCTTCACTTTCATTCATGCTTACTCGGCGCTCACATGAACCTTCGTAAAATGTCTTACCAGCTTCTCGCTCTTGCACGTTACAACACCTTGCATAATTGGTGTCGTAGCTGAACTCACCCGACCCATGTCATCATTAAGTTCGCAAGTGATAGCTATTGGCATGGAATACAACTCGAGGGGTGGTGTTGAATTTTCTAATAGCTGAAGCGGTAAAACAAGGGTTTGAACAGAAACGTCGATCATCATTCGCGTTGGACGGAAATGAACCGATGACATTTTGGAATGTGGTAGCGCTGCGTAAATAATGGAGGTGTACGTTAAACTTCCTCAAGATAGGCTTATACTCTTCCCAGTGAACGTAAGTCACCGTGTATGCAAGGACCCTCAACCGCTCACAAAGAACACAAATATCTTCAGCCCGGTTGCCATCAACATCGTCGATGACAAAGCTTGCAAAAATGTCGCCGAAGATTATTCACCAGGTACGAACCATCGCATGCGGCAGATCGATAATCTGATGCTATACGAGACCAGGCGGTCTGAGAGAATGCGTCAAATAGGGACTGAAGGGCCCGATAAGAGCCTCTGAGAAGCGACTGGCGTGGATATTCTGAATACAGCATGACGTACGAGGGACTACAGCACTGTGGATTCGAATTCTACGGCCTGGGAAGTCGGAACCCCCCTCTTATTGTGTGGACCTTGTTAAATGGAATGAAGGCTCGCCTATGAGGCAGGTCGTCAAGCAGTCGGCGAGGAGGCGCGTGAGAGGACCAACATTCCTCCCAACGCGTCAATATATTGAGTAAGATGGAGCAAACGAAAGATTAATTACATCACCCTGACAGAAGAACCAGATCTAAAGGCGATGCCTGGGGTCATGCAATAGTACTGTGTGGCGCCTTCGAAAAAGCAGAAGTGCTGTTATTGTATGAGCTGTCCAGTGTCCATAGGCTACAACTAGCCGATGACGATCATGTGATGACAGTGGCGATGCTGCCAGCGTTGAAAGTGATACTTCGGTGGGAGACAGCTTCGCACACAGCCGGACAACATTTCTTTCGTCTCCCATTGAAATGTAAACTCGTTTGTTTGAATCTGTGCTAACTGCTAAGTACGACTTATTTTGTGAAGCAGGTGTCGGAAGTGGCGCCTCAGGCTTAGTAAGCCTCATGTGTATTATGAATATGCGCATTAAGGATTCTTAGCCAATTCTTAGCCTCAGTGACAAAAACACAAGCAACATAACACCGGCGTTTCACCTTGAGCATTCTTCCCAATCAACCACGTTCTCGTCCTGTATTGTTCTGATATCAAATTCCGGTCCAATATTATCCCTCGAATTGTCTTCGTGAGTGAAGGGTAAACTAGATCCGCGCTCCGCAGTTTCTAGAACTGACGCTGGCGGTGATTTTGATCGACCGGGATTTTCCATCTAGAAGCGCGGGCATGCAGGGCCTTTGAACAAATCTAGGTCGACAGTTCAGCGTCACGGCCAGAAAATTGGCATGTGCCCTGTTGATGATGTCAAAATTCACCAAGGTAGTTACTCCCCTGTCTCGTTAGAAGTACAACCTGCCAGATCTAACGACTTCAACCAGCACCTTTGAATGGGTTTCCATCAGCCCAGTAAAAACGTACTTCGGAACAATTAAGATGCCCTTCCGCATCAAGGGCTACAGCCTTGTTGACGCGTGTACAACACGTTTTTTGGACGGACCCTCAACTATCAACAGAACCTATTTGTTGGCTTACAAGGCCGATAAGAAGGTCGCAGTGCGTAAAGTTGCACTTACTTGCATCTTATCCGACACATCTCTCTAACAACCACCTGATCTGACATGCGTCCGTCTTCCAGCGACTACGATGAATACCTTGTGTATCCCGAGGATTCAGAATCCTCTAGGCGAGGAGCCGAGCTCCCATCAAAGCTCGATTTCATGGATGACTTAAGGTGGGTTTTGTAATTGACCAATTATATAGTCAAGGGAATGTTCGATTGACTGGCGGGAGGCAGAACCTTGGACTTTGAGTCATCCACAGCATCAACGGTATTGTGGTCTTCTGGTGATCTCGAACTCCATCTCGAGGATACCGACGATGCGGCATACATCGAGAACATTCCCCCCCACCAAATGCAGACATCTATCGTACGTGAGCTGAAGATCGCACAAGGTCCGTGCTGACATATCTGCCTTAAGGTCACCCGATATCGGTACCCAGGGTTATCTGCAACTGGAGACTTCTTAGGTTTACCGCAGTTGAGCCCGGATGAATCACCCTTCAGTGTCGCGTCGAGCAGGTCGCCCTTGACTCCAGAAGGCGACGCCCTTCTCCCTGATATCTTCTGTCATTCGCCGGGAGATTTCGGATCTCTCGACATTGCAGTTGATTGCAGTCCGTTTTTTGGGCAAGAAGCATTCATGGAGGACTCGGTTTATCCTGAGCAACTGCAAGAAGACCTTGCCTGCCAGGCAATCTTGGACATGCCCTCTCCAGTATCATGTCCAAGGGATGTCTCTCAGCCAATCCTCCTGCTGCCGGTGGACGGTGCCGATCTGGCGCATGAATCAGTCGTCAATCTTGCCGAACTTTGTGGTTAGCCATAATTCCGCCACGGAACGATCTCGTTTCCTAAGATTGTCGGAGGGCGTGACGGAGAACATTACATCGGAAACGCAATTCTGTATTTCTCCACGCCCTGCGCCCTGCCCCCTTCATATTACTGTACGTCATCCGAGTCAGCTCCCATCGCCTTCGACCACACACCGTGCTAGCGCTGACATTCGTCGGGGAGTCAAGCGCCGGCAGACCGACGACGATGACGACGAAGACTACCAACCTCATCGCATCTATAAACGCGCAGCATCCTCCCATACGCGCTCGCATCCAGTGGCATCCAGGAAACATCGAAAAGTCGGCCCTCGTTCTTCAAAAAGAGTGACAAGGCACGAAGAAGCTATAGAAGAGCGATTTGACTGCTCGATGCGCATTCGTGGCTGCACGAAATCATTTACGCGTAAAAACGACATGGAGAGGCACCTGGGGAGTTGCAAGTTCAACTCAGACTTGCCTTTGATGGCAGTCACATGTCCTCACTGCCAGAAATCTTTGTCTCGTAAAGATGCTCTGTTGCGCCACATTAAGCAGAGCCACGCCGATGTTCAGTAAGACAGTGTATGTCTGTACATAGACCTTGTTCAACGTTCACTGTTCTACCTGGACTCCAATCAGCACGTAAGCTTGCTTCAATCCGGACTAGTTTTTGTATGTCACAACTGCATGTAGCCATAGCGATATTATTCTTACTTGCATCTTCATCTCAGCGGGTCTGAGATACCATAACTTAAACTGAGAAGTTAGATAATTAAATAATTATTTCCATATGTATCGTGTGCTGCCCCAGCTAATGTGATTGGAGTATGTCTCACTTGATACATTTTCCCCCGCCCCAGTCAACCTTTAGCTTGTCATACTCAATGATCACAGATTCTGAGGATAATTCTGCACAACCTCCGCAAGCAGACAAGGACGACTCATCTTTGAACGCTCATCTCTGGTTTCCAGAACCCGAAGCTCCAGAGCCAGTTGTTGCAATACCTCAGGCATCTGGTTCGTCTTCGCTATTGAGGGATCGTCTGTATATTGGAAATCTACACCCCACTGTCGACGAGTAGGTGTTTTAACTGTGGTTTGGCTCATGTCTTCTAATTGTGGGCAGATATGCTCTGCTACAGGTCTTCACCAAGTTCGGCAAAGTATCGAAACTCGACTTCCTCTTTCACAAGACGGGTCCGAACAAAGGGAAGCCTCGCGGATATGCATTCCTACAATATTTGCACGAAGGTGTAAGTCATCATGCTGTAAAGCGGCGCCGCTTGTTTTTGACTCGTTACTCTCGCCTTGATATGTTGTGGCCCATGTGGCGACCATTGTCCTCCAAAGTCATTGACAGCTTGACTGACGAATGACCTGCATCAGGATGCTCAAACTGCATTGGAAAGCATCAGTGGAAAGCTATTTCGGGGTCGTAAGCTGGTAGTAACTTTTGCTCATCAAGCTCCGCTCGAACAGCCCGGCGGAATTCGACAGGCGGGCAGGGACGAGAAGAATAGATACACGGCCGACTACCCTGAGTATGATGAAGAGCGGAATTCATACTCGGTCAGAAGGGTGAATTTTATTTTTAACAAAATTGCCCATTAACTCATCTCTCAATTAGCACAGATAGCAAGATTGCGATGATGGAGGCGAAGTTACGCCAGATGGAATCGAGCACCACAAATCCGTTCAACTCGTTACCACCAAAACCATCGCCACCGACTACATCATTGGTTCCAGCCTCAAGGCAGTGCATTGGTGCGGGAGGCTCTCTCTCCTCCAGACATCCCGTGCGGCGTCCCACCACGCGTGTAGAACCCACCCCCCATCCAAGGCCTTCTGTGGAGGCTGATTCTACACCTTCGAGATCATTGACAACGCTTCATACTCGACCGGAGGTCGTCAAGTCATCTATGTCTTGTAAACTTCTAATACCTGGTGTGAAGATTGTCAAAGAACGTAGTAAATAAAGGTAAAGCTCGGCGTCACACTTCCATTGCATTGACGACGATCTTCACCAGACCTGTACAATCAACATTCGCCGCGGAGATCGTCGCGATGATATCAAGTCTTTCTCCCCGGATTTTTCATACATCATAGCGCACTTCCGAGTTGTCCTGATGTAGTTCCGTCTGAAATTCCACTATCATCGCGGTCCGATAAGTGAGAGTTCTCAAGTTCTCATGCCACAAAGACAGTTCATACTCCGATTACCTCCACTGTTCAACCTGAGAAAGTGAGTTCATTTCCAGCTGGTTTCTGCGAATTCTGCATGCACGAGAATTGACCTAGATCTTATCAGTGCATAAATCTTGTTCGGTGACTTGGCTGTTTCCCCATGCCGATGGCCGAAGCTAGAGAGTTCTTGTATATCAAACTCAGCAGTCGCACGACCTCCAGCTTATTTCGATACCTCACACTTTCACCAATCTAACAGTGATTAACGGGTTGTCCGTGGCGAAACATTCGTCGGCTGACGAGTCGGGTTTCTACCATAGGCTCATGGATACGTTCGTGATTAGAATCAGCGCTACGTCTCATTGATGCCATCTTGACTACGGAGTCTTGAATCACGACAACAATAGATCAGGAAGTGAGGCTAAGTCAGGCGGCCGTATCAACCAAAGTTCTGGTACGTACCGAGGATCAGGTAACTTCTAAAGCATAAGACACTTCTCCTGCTGTCTCCTGACGCGGCTGACGAGCCTCATGTTGATTATAGCTTTGGAGTTTTATTTGAATGTTCTGCAACGTGTAGGGTCGACCTTTAAGGGTGACAGAGTGCGATCATTGCGATGTCCTCTGGCCTCGATCATTGGCCATTCACGAGCGGCTCCCATTCCGAGTCTTTGAAATATGACCGTGCGAGCTCTGGTCAGACTTCAGTCAAAACGTTCGTGGGAGTGTTTTCAGTAACTCACGATCTAACCACATCTTTCCACGAGGTTCTCCCAGAACGGATTCATATTTCCTTGGTTGTCCATCCAATCAACCTTTTTTGTATTGACTGGTTTCTCCGCAGCCAATTGGGCAAGATACGGGTGACAGGGGTTTCAGTCAGTAAACCATTTATCGGCCAAGTGTCACCTAGTGTCACTGCCAGATTTGATAACCTATTCTCGTCATGTATCACAGCTGAGTTCTCAATGAAGGCTTCAGAGCCGTTCTCGGAGCACAGCGGAGCACCTGATCATCCCCACGCATTCGTAAGACAGTTCTCAGCGGCACTTATAATCCACTCGCGATCTCGAGCAATGTCCCCATCTTTCTCTTCAACACTCATCATCTCTCGATCATGCCGTCCCCGCAAGTCTTCGCTGCTACTGATGGCGCAGTATACACCACCTCCAATGGTGCAGCCGTAGCGCATCCCCTTGCTGCTGAGCGTGTTGGTTCTGTGGGACCTCTCCTCCTCCAGGGTTTGTTTGTTTAGCCAACATATATTATCTTGCTGATCCACAGACTAGACTTCCACCACATCGATCTTCTTGCTCACTTTGATCGGGAACGTATCCCTGAGCGTGTGGTAAGCGCAACATTCAAACGAACAGGCTTTCCATACCCATCACATACTAGGTGCACGCCAAAGGCGCTGGTGCTCATGGCTATTTCGAAACGACCCACGATCTCAGTGATATCACCTCCTGCAAATTATTCACTGACGTTGGCAAGAAAGTTCGCGCAACGGTCCGTTTCTCCACTGTTGGCGGGGAAAGTGGTTCTGCCGACACGGCTCGTGACCCCCGTGGTTTCGCTATCAAATTAAGAACGGATGAGGGTAACCTAGACTGGGTGTTCAATAACACGCCCGTGTTCTTCATCAGAGATCCTGCCAAATTCCCGCCCTTCATTCACACCCAGAAGCGTGACCCTCAGACGCACCTGAAGGATGCAGACATGTTCTGGGTGAGATACATTCCACTCTCAAAAGTGTTTGAGCCGAAACTTTTTCTCTCATAGGATTACCTGTCTCAAAACCCAGAGTCGGCGCACCAAGTCATGATATTGTTCTCCGACCGCGGGACACCCGACGGCTTCCACAACATGCACGGCTATTCTGGCCATACCTTCAAGCTCGTGAAAGACGACGGCTCATTCGTCTACACCCAGATTCACCTGATTGCTGATGGCGGCTGCAAGGTTCATATGCCTTTTTCGATGCAATGATTTGTTTTCAACGCATAGCATAGGTCCTCGATACTGCCACAGCTCGCAATTTGTCTGCAGACAATCCCGATTACGGTATTCAGTCGCTGTTCGAAACCATCGACGCTGGGAACTTCCCGTCCTGGACTGTCTACGTTGTCAGTGATTTACCGTTTATGCCTCCCCCCACTTCATTAAACCTCCAATTCAGCAAACTATGACTCCAGAGCAAGCTGAAAACTTCCGTTACAACGTCCTGGACTTGACCAAAGTTTGGCCCCACAAGGACTACCCCTTGCGCCCCATCGGGAAATTCGTGCTCAACGAGAACCCGCAAAACTACTTTGCTGAGATTGAACAGGTGATGAGAATCTGTTTCACTCCAACGTGATGTGGGCTGATTGGCAAACACTTTCAATAGGCTGCTTTTGCGCCCAGCCATTTGATTCCCTACTTCGAGGCCACTGCTGACCCCGTCCTTCAGTCACGGTTATTCTCTTACCCTGACACCCACCGCCACCGTCTTGGCGTAAATTACCAGCAGATCCCTGTTAATGCGCCCATTATCCCTGTTGCCAACTTCCTACGCGATGGTGCGATGGCATTCAACAACCAGGGAGCACGCCCGAACTATCAGAGTTCTATTACGCCCTTGACATACGTGAACAACAAGGGGTCGATCAAGGGTACACCCAGAGACTACGAGCGAGCCGCAAAGCATGAAAGCTGGCTCGGCGGAGCATTCTGGGACCTGAGCGAGGTTACCGAGCGTAGGCGGCTAATACTGTTTCTTGGACTTCGGCGACGCTGACAAATTTTCTAGTCGACTTCGAGCAACCGCGTGCGCTCTACCAACAGGTCTTTGATGACGCAGCCAGGGAGCGCCTGGTTTCCAACATTGCTGGCCACCTTGGTGGTGTCAAAAGTGCCGAAGTCAAGGCTCGAACGCGTACGTTCAAATTTGCAAATCTGATCTCCAGATACCCCTACTGAGGCGGAATTTTATCTAGTTTCTTACTTTGCATCTGTCGATCAATCTTTGTCTAACCGCATTGCCAAGGCTATCGGTGCCCCCACTGCGAAGCCATTGGTTGTTAAATCTGCCTCTGAGGCAGTTCGCTTCAGGCACGGTGTTGGTGCTCAGCTGTAAATATCGAGGGATATTCAACCAACCATGAAAACAAGCTATCGCGTGTATTGTTTTAGTATCGGAAATTAGAATGCAAATATCGATAGCATAATGAATCCTACTTGTGATGCTCCAAAACCCTTCTGACCTTTTGAGTCAGAAAAAATGCTCAGGGTACCCATTGACGAGTGTCGTGGCTAGGTGGCTATAGTGGAAAGAAGGGGAATTGTGGAGAAATATGCGACTAGAAAGCTGGGTGAAAAGCCACTTTGGCCCCGAAGCGCCTGGGTGTCGAAGTGAGCCATGAGGGCACCGAAAAAGGTCACCTACTACGTGATTGCGAGATAACTACTCAGGAAACGAGCGCGCTCACGACGCACTAGATGTCCGGGCCGAGTCATCGTCAGATAAATTGACACGCTATGGAAGTGGATCCTACCCTCGGATCCTTCTGCATCAAGACACTGTTATCTGACTCAAAAGCACGAACGACGGTCTCCGCCGCTACATGCATCATGTTCAGGATACAAGCTAGGCCTACCTGGACGGTCTGACTGCGCCTCGGTCAATAACACTTCCAAATGTCCCTAAACCTCTGGAGGTGATCCGATAGGGGCCCGACCCCAACGTACAGCTCGACCAAAAGGAAAACGAACCACAGAAAGACATTGCGTTGATTCTACAAGGGGGAAGACATTTTTATATTTCCTTGGCGAGCTCTTCTCGTGTTCCCGTGCATCCTGTGCACAGCATGCTCCTTGCGGTGTGCATTGCTGAGAGGGTAGCGTATCGCCTGCAAGATCCGAGTGTGAGATATGCCTCACATGAAAGAGGAAGTTCAAGCTGATGGAATTTTACCTTGACAGTCTGGTTGTGAAGGTCCAGGCAACATTCAATTCGCCTTCCAAACACCTCGCTGCCCTCAGGGACATAACCACTCTTCTGGCGGTGACCACATCTCACTGTGGGTAGTAGATCCAATGAAATTCAGTGGGTGAAATAAGATGATAACTTCATGAAATTCATAGCATAATGCACTGAAACCGAGGTGCTGACATTGCCGTTTTTTACTCTGAACAAGTTCATCATTGACCGTAAACATTCTTTACTACTATAAATTCTCGATGCTCCTTTGTTTTTGATGTCCAGTCTGTTAGGGTGTTCTTACTGTCATTGGGCTTGAAGTATGTGCCAGACGAGGAGACATTCTTGATTCATAATCTTCGTGTCTGATACAAGTACCCCAGCAGTAATTCACTCATCCTCAACCAAGTCAATTCATCTCGTCTTCCTCCAACCTGTCACGAGGCAAGCACAGACCGTCGGACAAAGCTGGATAAGTGTTAACGAGGCTGAAAAAGGTGAAGCTTTGTCCGAACCTGAGAGAAGGTGGACGAACAAAAGAACTGAGGATTAAAAACTGGCAACAGCAGACTGGTCGAGTGGGTGACACATGTTCCAAGTGTTTTGCTGACAAACATAACAGACCTCCGCACTTCCTGATGAAAGTGAGGTTTGAAACATCATATATCCTATAGGTACAGGGAAGAGCAAAAAATAACGGAATTAGGACGTTCCAGCATCTCAGATGCCTTCTCAAATTTTTCTTGGAGTTCCAAGTTGCCAATGACTTTGGCGGCCTGAGCCATCTGACGAAGCAATTCACCAAGCCGCCTGAACACACGAATCAAATTCCCCTCGAATTGATCGGTCAGCTGCGTTTGGTCAATGATCAGCAAGTTCATGATGAAAAAGTAGGGTCGACAAACTTTGCAAATGTCAGAAAACGAAGCTCCTCTACACCATTGAACGACTGCGTCCATCAATTCGACTTTGAAAGACGAAACATATTCTTCCTCGACCAATGGTAATTTTGATTCCTGCGATACCTTTGCTATTCGGCGCGCAATTTCTTGCATAACACGCAATGGCGCTGCTAACTCTTCCGTGAGCTTTGTCACCTGTTCGCTCTGAAATCACACGTTAGCTAACTTATTCAGAACGAAATCATCCTGGTTACCTTTTCTGTGAAAACAAAACAGCTAAGGAGACTGGCACACTGCTCAGGGAGTAGGGGGTTGAAAACGCCATTGAAGATCAGTTCAGTGAGAAGTAGCTCATCTCCAGTGCTGATTTCGCAAGCTACGCGGCCCTTCAATTCCGCAATGTCTGATGAATTCGTGAAGCCCAGTCGACGGAGTACACGTTTCCGGCATTTCAACTCCTCGAGTTGCAGCACATCATGAGTTGCCATGATGCGCTTCTTCAGATCACGTATCTTCGTCTGCGCCTCCTGCTTTTGAGAGTACAACGTGTATAGTTCGGGGAGGCGAGGATCATTATGCAATGGATTTGAGAACATTCTTTGCTCCATGACGTCGATTTTCTGCTCGCAACACTAAAGTTCACGCGATGCATTAGGAGCCGACGATCACTCACATTGACTAGGGCCGTGAACTTTTCGTCCTTGATGTCCATATTTTGCACAGGATCGAGCAAGGCAATGCCATCCGGAAATCTTCGTTGCACTTCGAGAATGCTCTTCCAGACAGTATCCCGCGCCTGATCTTGCCGAAGATCTTTGGGTAGGAAGACACGGATGTGGCTGATCGCGTCTACCGTAGAAAGGAAAACGGGCACTACGAGCGGCAAGCCTTTATTGCTAGCGGGACAAGGTTGTATTCCTCCTGGCGTGGGGGTGGATACTGTTTTGTCTTTCGGCAGTGTAGTGCCATCTTCACAGTTCAATAGCACATCAAGGACGTATTGCTCGTGGGGAGGGATATCCGCTAGCTGCTGTTCTTGCCAAGTCTACGATAGAAAAATGAGTACCTGATTACTTTGTCCGACGCGGATAATGACCTTTGGTGGCAAACGCTTCTGGTAGTGTACGACTACGCCCCACCCAAAGTCTAGATCTTTGTACTTCACCTTGATCAGGCGACCGGGCTGCAGGAATGGAAGCGAATAGTTAGGATGAGTAATCACTTCACGGAAATCCGCAGCCATGCGATCCAGTTGTTGACGGTAGTCGTAGTATGCAGCAACAATGCTTTCATCGGGGATGCTGATAGCGTCTCGCCGTCTCTCCTCCTTCTGTAGCTCTGAACGGGTGTTAGTGATTTCATACAACATATCCAAGAAACTCACCATCTTCCAGGACGGGAATCCCAGCACTGCTCTGGAACTGGAAAAAGCATCGCTCAAGCATGTACTCGGGACTAATGCCTTCAACCTTGAGCAAGTTCAAGATCATGTTATAACCGAGGTGGAAAGCAGAATCCAGACGGTCAGCCTCGCCTTTGATCATCTCCTTGGCGGCTGGCGGCTCTAGCTTCTCATCGCACATCATAATGACAACGCCTCGATCGTCAAGACCACGTCTACCTGCACGGCCAGACATTTGAATGTACTCCCCGGAGGAGAGGTTTCGGAATTCCCTTCCATCGAATTTGCGGGCGGCGGTAAAGACTACAGTTTTTGCAGGCATGTTGAGTCCAATGGAAAAGGTCTCGGTGGCAAATAGAACTTTAATAAGGCCTTCTTGGAAGAGGATTTCAATGACTTCCTTGAGAATAGGTAGCAAGCCCCCATGATGTATCCCAATACCTCGCTTGAGCAACGGAAGGATATTAGATATTTGGGAGAGATTCCGGTCGTCCGCTGAGAGATTTTCGATGGCATTCTGAAAAATGTTCGCAACAACGTCTTGTTCGTCTGTGGAATTGAACTCGAATTTGGACAGGGTGAGGGCAAGAGCCTCGCACTCTCGCTTGCTGAAAGCGAAAACAATGACAGGATTGTAGTTCTTGAGCATGATCATTTTGATGATTTTCGAGATGTCGGATTGGCCTAGTAATGATTAGGTGGATGGCGGGATACAGGCAGAGTTCAGGTACCTTTCTTTTCACCTCCTTTTTTTGTCTTGCCTTTGCGACCTTTTCCGCTTCGTGGGTCGGCAGGGTCCTCCCCGGTTTTATCTTGAAGTGTCCCCATCGCTTTGCTGAAGTTGTCTTCACGGAATTCTCCTTTTTCATTGACGACCAGGTAGATACCTTCACCTCCTGCAGGAAATAGATAGTGTTGCAATGGTGTTGGTCGGAAGTCGGTATAGACAACATGGCACGGTTGTTCGTGAGATTTGCAGATCCACTCAGCGAATTGCATGGCATTGGGTATTGTGGCCGAAAGAAAAACGTAGCGAACGGTATGCGGTAGCAGGATGATAGTTTCCTCCCAGACGACCCCGCGCTCTTTGTCTCGCATGTAGTGAATTTCGTCAAAGATTACCCATGCAACTTCACGCATTATCTCGGACCCTCTGTAGAGCATTGACCGTAAGATCTGCAGAAAGTCCCTTAGCGGGTGAAGCGCGGATTACGAGCTACACATACCTCTGTAGTCATTACAAGACACGTTGCGGAAGGATTTATGGTCACATCTCCGGTCATCAGACCGACGTCCCCGAATTCTGCGAGCATCTCACGGTACTTTTGATTACTCAAGGCCTACTGGACTGTCAGTTATCCCATCCGAGTTATACACCAAGGCTGCTGCGTACCTTGATGGGACTAGTGTAAATAACACGTTGTTTGTTCAGCAAGCATTGCGCGATAGCGTATTCTGCGACGACTGTCTTTCCAGCACTCGTATGCGCCGAAACCAATACACTTTCATTACGCTGGATGGCGAACACCGAGACTTGTTGGAATGGATCAAGAGTGAACTTGTATTCCCTTGCCGGTTTTTGGGGAGGGACATGTTGCGCAATCGGCACATAGTGATAACCTGGTGGTATTGCAACTTGATGGCGAACCTAGCAAAGTTATAGATCAATGCAAATTATTCGAGTGACTGGTTAAAACCTGATGTCGCAGTTCCAGTCGCGATCCAGCTTCCACCGACCCTGTGAGCCCTCCACTTGCGGCCATTTCACGTTTTGCCTCAGTCTCAAACTCATCTACGACAACTGGCACGGGCGATGCCACACGAGTTTTCTTGGAAGCAAAGCCGCCAGAGGCGCCACCGTTCGGGCGTTCAGTTGGAGGATCCGTGCTCGCACGACGCTTTGCTGTCTTGTCGACCTGACGCGGCTCGGGAACATTGATGTTTTTATCCTCATCCCCAGAAGGCATTCCATTGAGGAATGAGAATAAGTCGGGCGTGGTCATGTGGGGTATTGCAGTGGGTAGATAATGGGCTCTTGCCTACTCTTGCCAATGCTTAAGTTAACTATTGATTGGCGTCATTGAACGGTCAAATTGCTGTGATCGGAGTTTAGACTGTCGGCAATGGCCGAAAGTTAATTTTCATGGGTAAGATATCGGGTGCGTGGCACAGATTTGCATTGTACAACTATGTCCCGATTCTTCAGACAAGGCAGCGATTCAGACTCTGATTCAGAGGAATCTGATGAGGAGCTCCTCACTAGCGGCGACGAAGATGCTGCTGCACCAAAAACTGCCGCCAAACCCGCCATGTCAAGATTCCTACGTACAGCAGGAAGCGAGTCTAGTAGCTCAGACTCAGAGTCATCCGATGAGGACGAAAGCGACAAAGGAAGTGAAGACGAGGGTGTCAGACGGGTCATAAAAAGCACCAAGGACAAGCGCTTGGAGGAAATTGAGGCCACCGGCAAGGTCATGGACAACGGGCTCAAAATTAACGACTGGGTCGTCATTTCAAACGGTGAGTTTCGTCGAATCTTCAAATCAGATCCACTGACTTGTCGTTCTCTTAGAATTCGACAAGCTCCTGCGTCTCGTGCAGCGACAGAGTAATGCTGCGGAACCATTACCTCCGTTCTTTGTCAAGACCGTTATAAGCCTAGAGAACTCCCTTAATGCTGCTCTGACGAAGGAGAAGGAGGCGAAGAAGAAGATGAACGCTACCAATGCTCGAGCACTCAATTCCATGAAGCAGAAAGTCCGCAAAACGGCTAAAGAATTTGAAAATGAAGTTCAGCAATACCAGAATGTAGGTTTTCCTGCACCGTGTTGTCACGATCCTTACCTCTCGCAGGATCCAGAGGCATTCGAACGTGAATTTGCCGCTCATGCTCAACCTGTGGACGTCGTAGTCCCCAAACAGAAGAAACAGAAGAAGGGTACAGACTCTGAGAGTGACGAGGAACAGGTATTGGATGATCGATTTACCACGGTAGGCAAGGGCGGCAAGGCTATGTCTTTCTCCGCAGACAACATCTTCAAAACTTTAAAGCTCGTTCATGAGGCTCGTGGCAAGAAGGTGGACATGTTTTCTTTACTCTTGACTCCAAATTGACCGCGTCGTAGAACACCGACCGAGGTGAACAAATACGGATCCTCGAGAAACTCCTGGAAGTAGCTGTTACATCCTACCAACGTATCCGCATCCTCCTGGCGCTTGTTTCATCCCGGTTTGACTACAATTCATCGATTACATCATACATGCCAACTGAACTGTGGCTCTCGGCGCAACATGAAGTCGATCAGTTGATCTCAATTGTGGTCGCGGACTCATCCTACTCCGTGCAGGAGGACACTGTAGATTATGATGAGCTCATCGAGCGCCATCCTTCCACCGAGAGCGACGGGGTTGTCCGCATCCGTGGCAGCATAATCAGCTTTGTAGATCGATTGGATGACGAATTCACGAAGAGTCTACAAAATATTGATCCCCATGGAACGGAGTACGTGGACCGTCTTAAGGACGAGAAGGTACTCTATCGTACTATCTGCCGTTCCCAAGCTTTCTATGAGCGGACGAGTCAGCCGGAACCGCTTGCACGGGTGGTCATGCGACGGCTGGAGCATATTTATTCCAAGGTTAGTTAAAGTTCCCATCGCAGTTCATATTTAACCATTTTCGCAGCCTGATGCTGTCGTATCTGCTCTCGAGTCTTCACTGGCTTCGTCGGAGATAACTCCGAGTGTTACTCTGGCATCTTCTACTACTACTTCGTCCCTGATCCACTCCCTTTGCGTCCACCTTTATAAAGCCGACAACTCCCTCCTGCGCACCCGTGCCATGCTCAGTCACATCTACCATCATGCTTTACACAACGACTTTTATGCTGCACGAGACATGTTGCTCATGTCGCATCTGCAGGAGTCAATTCATTCTGCGGACGTTGCAACACAGATCTTGTACAACCGGACCGTTGTACAGCTCGGGCTTTGTGCTTTCAGATGTGGGTTGATCAAGGAGGCCCAAGCAACGCTGCAAGACATCTTCACAACACAGCGCGTGAAAGAGTTGCTCGCTCAGGGTGTCCACCAACAACGCTTCCAGCAACAACTCACACCAGAGCAAGAGAAGGCAGAACGATCACGCCAGCTGCCATTCCATATGCATATAAACACCGAGCTTCTCGAGGCGGCTTTCCTTGTATCCAGCATGCTTGTTGAGGTTCCCCTTCTTGCCAGCATTGAGTCAGAGGAGCAGAAGCGCAAAGCGATCTCAAAACCATTCCGCCGGCTACTCGACTTTGCCGATCGCCAAGTATTCACAGGCCCTCCTGAGAGCACGCGCGATCACATAATGCAGGCGAGCAAGGCGCTACAAGACGGCGAGTGGGAGAAATGCCGCGACCTGATTCAGAGCATCAAAATTTGGAGTCTTATGCCTGAAGTTGCGTCAGTCAAAGAAATGCTTGCGAAGTGAGTTTTGACGTCCTGCCGACAATTTCACATCTGACCACTATGTATAGACGTATTCAAGAGCAAGGACTGCGCACGTACCTTTTCACATATGCACCTTATTACAGCACTCTCTCACTATCTCTCCTGTCACGCACATTTTCTCTTCCACTTCGCGCTGTTACTTCCATGATCTCCAAAATGATCTGGAACGAAGAGCTGTCAGCATCTCTTGATCAGTCGACTGGTGTGGTGGTATTCCACCGCATCGAGCACTCACGCCCGCAGCAGCTTGCTCAGGTTATTGCGGACAAAGTTAGCGCACTTCTCGAGCAGAATGAAAAAGTCCTTGATATAAAGCTTGGCGGCAGTGGTGGATGGGGTGACAGGAGCGGTGACAAGGGTGAGAAGCGTGGTGAACAAACTCAAGAGCGTAGAGGAAGAGGAGACAGGACACGAGGAAGCGTGCGCGGTGGTTCCCGTGGACGAGGCTCGCGATTTGCCCAGGGTCTTGGTAATCAAATGACAAGAGTACGATGATCTTCACGATGTGTCAATGTTGTGTTTAGTGTGCAATGTACTCATCTGAATTAATCTATCTTGTTCAAAGTTCAAAACCTCTCAAGGTCACAACCGGTTACTTGATGGTGGTGAACAGTGCCTGCGGTGACGCTCGGCACGCTCGGCCCTCAAATTATCGAAGATACTACTAGATGTCCACTAAAGTTCGCGCATTTTTGGGGTAACGTCTATTACTCCACAACACACAAAAATAAAAATTCTTTGACAGTTCGATAGCCTGACATTGAAAGTACAACATCTGCTAGTTTTTCTTTTGAGACTCGACGTGTTGAGTCTGGCGGAGAGTTACCGCGCAGAAAGTGCATTTCCCTAGAGTTCGCGCACCTGGGTTTCCCAATAAGTAAGCCTTAATATAGTGGTTCATTATGTGCTGTACTTACTATTATTAGGCTTGGTTGCAGTAATACTCAGCACCAGCATTAAATCCTGTCCCAAATCCTCCAAGTACTCCAAAGCTCCAAGGTATTGTGAGAACATATCATTATATAATCTATGCACATGTTCCATGGTTCCAATATATGCTTGTATCGTCCGAAAGCGGCAATTTTTAGTACTACCTTCGAAAACATAACCCAATTTGGCAGTTTCAAAATATCAATGTTTTCTGGCTACCCCAAGCTTCACCCTGCTCCTCCTGTGTAGTATGCTTGTATATAACATGTACCTTAGCTATAATACACCCTGCAGAACCCACTGGACCGCGATATATGCTACCAGTCATCACAGGAGTGCATGCTAGCTATAATACTCTATACCTTATACAGGTGAAAAAGCGAAAACTTGACAGCAAGAGGACATACCCAGCTCTAGCTACACGTACCTCATGTTTCTGTAATATTCATTAGCATATACCACCGCTTAAACAGGGCCTTTGTATGTTCTATAGCAGTCTCTGAGATAAAAAAAACCATAACCGCTTTTTTCTTGTTTTTATGTATCTTAAGACATAGTACATCATCCCTTTCGCTTATTTATTGTTTTCTATACACCATATGTCGTATCTGGACACGGTCCTGAAGCTACAGAAGGTAGGAGATTCAATGTAACAAGGTCAGGGGTGATATGAGCAGATTTATGTTGTGGGGGACAAATAAGACATATATCGGAGTTCTGAAAGTTGAATCACATAGACTACAATGCTATAATACCAGGAATGCAAGCTCAAGCTGCTGGACATTGATCTGAGTGTTGTGGGAGCAAAGTAAGTGTTGGAGATGCGTGGGAAACTATGCAAAACATATGGTTGAAACATAAAAACACATCATAGCGCACTACACAAGACAGTCTAGGGTGTAATACATATGTAGTATGATAGAGGGACATAAAAAGTACTATCCCTGTCGTTCTTGTGTTCTTGCAAATCCAGCTTGCAGATATATATGATGATTTTACATTTCTTGCATTGATGCACAGGTGCCTACAGTAGTGTACACTTAATTTCGAGTTTTTGGTGTCAAAGCCTATAGAACACCTTACAATACCTCAATATTATGGTGGATAGTACTTTTTATATCCCTCTATCATACTACATATGTATTACACCCTAGACTGTCTTGTGTAGTGCGCTATGATGTGTTTTTATGTTTCAACCATATGTTTTGCATAGTTTCCCATGCATCTCCAACACTTACTTTGCTCCCACAACACTCAGATCAATGTCCAGCAGCTTGAGCTTGCATTCCTGGTATTATAGCATTGTAGTCTATGTGATTCAACTTTCAGAACTCCGATATATATCTTATTTGTCCCCCACAACATAAATCTGCTCATATCACCCCTGACCTTGTTACATTGAATCTCCTACCTTCTGTAGCTTCAGGACCGTGTCCAGATACGACATATGGTGTATAGAAAACAATAAATAAGCGAAAGGGATGATGTACTATGTCTTAAGATACATAAAAACAAGAAAAAAGCGGTTATGGTTTTTTTTATCTCAGAGACTGCTATAGAACATACAAAGGCCCTGTTTAAGCGGTGGTATATGCTAATGAATATTACAGAAACATGAGGTACGTGTAGCTAGAGCTGGGTATGTCCTCTTGCTGTCAAGTTTTCGCTTTTTCACCTGTATAAGGTATAGAGTATTATAGCTAGCATGCACTCCTGTGATGACTGGTAGCATATATCGCGGTCCAGTGGGTTCTGCAGGGTGTATTATAGCTAAGGTACATGTTATATACAAGCATACTACACAGGAGGAGCAGGGTGAAGCTTGGGGTAGCCAGAAAACATTGATATTTTGAAACTGCCAAATTGGGTTATGTTTTCGAAGGTAGTACTAAAAATTGCCGCTTTCGGACGATACAAGCATATATTGGAACCATGGAACATGTGCATAGATTATATAATGATATGTTCTCACAATACCTTGGAGCTTTGGAGTACTTGGAGGATTTGGGACAGGATTTAATGCTGGTGCTGAGTATTACTGCAACCAAGCCTAATAATAGTAAGTACAGCACATAATGAACCACTATATTAAGGCTTACTTATTGGGAAACCCAGGTGAGTTCGCGCACTTTGTCACACCATGTCACCCGTCTGCCGCAATGCCTTTTCACACTCTGCAGTGTCCGCAACCATTCGTACGTACTAGTGTGTTGCGAGGACTTCAATTTGGCATTGCGGAGTTTCAATTTACACAGTCTCGATGTAACACTTTGGATAGATTGTCATGTCTGAGACATATTTCTTTTATTGCAGATGATCCTGACAAGCATGTGGCCACAGAGAAATTTGTTTTAGTATTCTCTCATTGTGTATAACCGTCATACTGCATTCCAGAATTTTATGTGGTGATCTGACTGTTGAAGTCTGAAGAGTCCGAGACAGTGAAGACGGCCGAAGTGTAAGATACGAGCGAAACCAAAAGTGGTCCGAGCGAGCGACACTTTGACGTCAGCTGCAGCTTGTCCATATTGCAATGTGTTGTTTGCTATGATACATATATTTTTCATCTCTATGCTAACCTACTATAAGAAGTCGATTACTTTCGTATGAACATCTCAGCTCCTTCAGAGACTGAGATGTAAGCCTCAGTTATTTTTCCCATTACTTTACATTGCTAACGAGCCATAGATACTTTGTTTCTTATCAGGTACTAGACTCGTACAATGAGCTCCTTCAGAGACTGAGATATACTTTGTTTCTTATTAGATCGAACCATCCTGCTTGTTACCATTCACTTTAGGTTATGAGCCCTGACTCAGCCATGGATTCCATGCTCCCCAGTACCAGCTCTTCATTGTTCAATGTCCCAAAACTTGCCGAAGATGGCACAAATTGGATCACCTATAAGGAAAGAACGTTGACCGCGATCGGTGTGAGAGGCTTGATGCGCTATACCAATGGTCGAGCAATGAGACCTGTTCCATTCCCGCTAGACAACAAAACAGGCCAGTTGAAGAAGATGGATGGTGCAATCCCAATGCAAGCTGATCTTGAGGACCTCAATAAGAAAACAGATGAATTCTATCAGAAGGACTGTTACAGCTGTGTTTATCTTGCTTCTTTTTCCCTTGATACACGCTTACTACGCATGTCTCTTATCATGCTTTATTTAGTTCGGTATTACTCAGATGCCTCATTGCTTACGCATGTGCTTACTGATGCATACCTATTATTACGTCATGCCCTGTACCCTCTGTACTATATAAACCCTGGCTAGGTGACACTGATTCTTCAGCTTAACCTACGCTGGTTTTCCTCTGAACATCTGACTTGATTCTAAGTTACCTCTTCAGTACTTAGCCTTGACTTGACTTTGGACGTTCTTAAGACTGTTGTCTTGAACGTATTGACAGACCTTTGGTCTTATTGATTATTGTTTTGCCTGCATTATACTTCGGTGTAACAGGACTCACTTGTGAGGCAGCAGATCTTCAGCATGATCACAGATCGGCTGCTGCTAAGCATTCAGAAACTGGACAGTGCATCCAAGATCTGGGAAGAGATCTGCAAGATCCACAAAGGCAAGACTGAGCTTGTGCAGATCAATTTGCGCTGCTGCTTGTAGGATATGAGGTGCGATGAGGGAGCTGATGTCAAAGCCCACTTCGCAGAGCTCTTGAGGCTCTGAGAATTGCCTGCTGGCATGGGCGCTGCATTGGACGACCACGATTTTCATGCTATCGTCCTGGGTTCACTCCTGGAATCATATCGCCCTCTCCTATCTTTGGTAAATGCAGCTGCAAAGATACTGCAGAAGCCACTCACTCCCAATGAACTCATCAGCATCATGACTGGAGAATATGAGCATCGCCTACTCACTGATCTTCATAGCAAGAGCAAGAAAGGCGTCAATGCTGCGCTCACAGTCAAGAACACTCCAGGAAAGTCCTGTGGTACCAGCAGTCCCAGTCAGACCAACCAGAACGTGACCTGCTTTAACTGTGATCACAAGGGCCACTACAAGACTAATTGCTGGAGGCCAGGAGGCGGAAAGGAAGGTCAGGGACCCAACCAAAAGCAGAGGAAAGGAGGGTGCTCACAGAAGCATGGTGCTAACGCCGCCATGGAGCAGGAAGTGCAAGACAACTACACTTTCGTCACATCAGACTTAGCGAGTGTAGCCAAGGATTTGAATGTACCCCTTGACTGCCATGGAGCCATCATGTTAGGTACCATGCCGGGCTCAAGAAGCGGAGGGGTCAGGGCTTGGCTTCATGTAATGTTTGTGACTTGTTACAGGAAGTGGAGTTGACTTGGTTAACGTAACTTAGGATTCGAACAGTAAGAACTGGCTGAACTAAACTTGTTATTTTGTGGGAGATAGGGAAGGATCAACTACTTCTCCAATACATATGGCGCCAGGTTTAAATACGTACAGGAGATATCAGGGAAGGATGGAAAATGAACTAATGTTAGGTACCGTGCTGGCTCAGGAGGCAGAGGGGTCGGGGCTTGGATTCAGCTCTTGCGCTGCGCTCTTAGCCGAGTACGTGCCCTGAATTTGGAGCAGGTCCGACGTTGTCCAACGATAGGACAAGTGAACCGCTTAGGTCCGCTTGGAGGGTCAGGAAGTAAGAGCTACTAGTGGCGGGGAGTGATGTGGAGGGTGGATAGGAGTAGGGGGAATATTTGGTAGGAGCGGGGAAGGCAGAGGATAACGCGAAGGATGGGAAAGGGTCAGAGGGAATATTGCAAGGGGCAGAGAAATAAGGGGAAGACTCAGAGCACGGCTCTAAGTCGGAGCGGAGGGTCGGAGGTGACAACAAGTTGAGACTTGTGTCCAAAGGAGGCAAGGTCCTACTGAGAATTCTCACAAGAGGCAACTGCGAGAAGACAAGTAATATTAAGACTGAGGAAAATATCTAAGTACAGGATATGTTATATACTTCTATGTATGAGGCAGTGATCAGGATAACTATGTAGTAAAGCTATGTACCAAGGATATAGTTTGTAAGTACTTTACACAGGCGAAGACATAAGTCGGAGCAGATATTGATATGTACGTGTCGGATCAGTGATTGATTGGTAATAGGAATTACCGATGATCCGGAAGTAAGGGTTTATGTACCAAAGGGGGAAGTATATATCTAAAAGGGAAAAGCGGATCCAGTTGAATGGAGGCATTATGGAAGGGGACCGGTTGGGCGGTCGAGCGGAAGTGTAGGGGCGGATGTGGATGATGGTTGGATGGAGCAGAGGATGGGTGGAGCAGAGGTGATTGGAAAGTGGAGCGGATATTGATATTAGAGTGGTCAGATCAGGTATATGACAACTAAGGAGAAAGGAGAAAGAGAAAATACTGAGTGCCTGGGGATAATATTGGTAGTAAGTATGCATACTATCCCCATCTAGCTTTTATGATCGTTACATATGCCCTCCAGGTCAACTGTTCAGGAGACCTGCAATTTAGTGATGAGCAGGCAGGAGTTCTTTTAACACAGAAGATTGGAATGCACTTCCATAGATCCGAACGCAGCTATAAGTGCGAGGAGAGTAAGTACATTGGTAGCAAGAAGACCCAAAACGACCACTCTACCAAAGAGTTCTGACTCAGTCATGCTATGAGGGTGAGCTGAGTTCATGAGGTAGGACTGCTCTCCAGCAGAGATTATGTCAAGAATGTCGGGTCCTGGGTTGTCAGTAGGAGGTGGAGAATTAACAATGGGGGGAGTCGCTGCGGAATTTGAGGAGATGGTGGCAGAGATCACCTGGGCTGTAGATAATGGTGGAGTAGGGTGAGTTACTCTCTGAGTTGGGGCGGTGTTTCGCGATTGAGGGACGCGCTGATGATTCCTGTTGTCGATAGACAGGTTCGCTCCGCGATGCAACTGGCTCAGACATGAGTAGTTGTGCTCCCTCTCAGACTTTAGCATCTGATCGAAAGCATGAGCCTCTTTCCTGGTGGCGAGTTCCTCTGCAGGGCAGGAGGTCCAGGTGTTAGGTATGTCCGAGTGGTAATCAACCCAGGAGGACTTACTCACTTGCACTTCAGCATGGAAGAACCAAGTGAATGCACCGAGTGCGTCTGATTCAGGCTCATGACAGTAGGAGGGGTTACCTCGACCTCGTTTCCAACTGCGCTGGCATCAAGGGTGATGTTGATGACCAGCAGGGTTGATGGGAGCTTGGGAAGGGACTTCCCCAGGCTCATGCCCATATGACGGTTCATCAACCAACATACATTTGTTAGGGGAGGCAGGGACGGACATCGACATAGGGTAAGACAAGGTGGCGCGTGAGTTGGGGGTAGTCCAATCGCCTCGAGTTTTAAGTCCATCGACTTTGAGACTAATTGGGTTAGTCTGGGAGGGAAGTTTGTCGAGCATTTGGCCAACAATGAGAGATACTTGATGGCGAGCCTCAGGGAATGAGTGCACAGTAGCAACCGCTATATTGGTTGGTGCGTTCGAAATTTTCTTGGGTAGGTGTTGGATCCCTGGAGCGCCTAGGGCCTCCAGGTATTGGCTGACTGCTTCCAGTTGGGTGACTTTGTGATGTGGCAGCCAAACTCGATCACCAGTCATATATTCGATCTTGAATATGGCATTTGTGCCTTGGCCATTGTGATCCGTCACTTTGGATACCTGACCATTCCTCCAGCTTCCTGATCTCAGAGATCTGGTGAAGTTGGCGACCCGGGAACCTCCTGTCATCATTTGGGATATGAGGTCATAGAAGGTTAGCGTGGAACGCTGGGTGCACGCCTCTTTGTTTTAGGTCGGACGGTAAATCTAACAAGAATGAGTTGTTCTTATAGTCCTCCAGGATCTTGAATGGTCCTATAAATTTTGGGGCGAGTTTCCTTGCTCTTCCTTTCAGTAGGGATAAGTTCTCGGTGGAAAGGTAGATGAGGTCACCTTTTACGAAGGGTGATTCTTTGTGGCATTTATTGGCGGTATGTCATATACTGGATCCAAGCACCTCCAACACCACCTGTGAACATCCCCACCCCTGGTCCGACCCCCTGTTTTCCCATTCGCTCCATTCCTCCTTCCCCGACAATGCACAAAGTGCATCTCAGCAGGATTAGCCCTGCTACCTCCGCCCAACCCTGTTCTGCTCTTCCGACACTACTCCTATGTCCTCCAACCCCATACCCCTTCCTCCAACCCTATCTGGGGTTCCGCTCCTCCGCCCTATCAGTCTGCCCAATCCTATTCCTACTCCCTCTGCTTTTCCGACCCGCATGGATCCTTCAGTTCTGCTCATATTCCCCACCCAACTATTAGTCTGTCTGACCGCCTCACCGGTCCACTCCTAGACTAGGAACCACTCAACTGGTCCTATCCCCATTTAGTATCATAGTTCCACTTTTCGGATCACCGGTAATTCCTATACCCTAGCGATTATTGATCCATTGCATACATACTGTTCTCTGAGCCTTATTCTCGTATGTCTCAGTCATCCTCTGGTAATCCTGTACACTCAGCACATAGCCTTCTGCTATGCTATGCTCATCACTTAGAGTATATAAACATATGTACATTTGTCTGTGGATACTCAGTCTGAATATTACCTTTTCTAAGCCCTGCTCTTCTGTTCTTTGACTTGGGCCTGATCCTAGTCAACTCCTGTTAGCCGGCCTAGGGGATTGACTCCCTAGGTCAGACACCCTCTGCTCCTCTGCTCCTCTGCTCCTCTGCTCCTCTGCTCCTCTGCTCCTCTGCTCCTCTGCTCCTCTGCTCCTCTGCTCCTCTGCTCCTCCGTTCCCCTGTTCCCCCATTCCCCCGCTCCTCCATTCCCCCATTCCCCCGTTCCTCCGCTCCTCCGACTTCCTGTGTGTCGGAACTAGACCCCACACTCTCGCATCTGTCCCCTCCATTCCGCTCTGCTTCGGACTTCGTCCAAGCAGTCCCTTCCACTCCGCTCCTACTGTTGGTTCCAACTGCAGTAGTCTCCCACCTCCCTCCTGTCAGGTGGAACAACCCCCGCCCAACTTTCCCACGCTCACCTAGTAGTCCGTCAGTCCTCCTTCAGAGGACCCCTGTTCTGACGTCCCGTCAGAACTCATAGAATTCGTGTCGGACTACATTCCGAAATTAGGGGCATGTACTTGGGTAAGGGGCGCAGCATATGAGCTGAAGCCAAGCCCCTCAGACTCCGCTTTACCCCTGAGCACGGTCTTAACACGGTAGATGTATTCTTTATGCGCGCGGCTATTATCGAATTGTGGGCACTCAATATTGCATCTTTCATGTGTTGTGCGAACACTTGTACTCCTGGGTATTCGCTGTTAGTGTCCCATATCATTGATGGGGGCATCATGCCATAGATCAGTTTAAAGGGAGGGAATTTCGTTGCTGACGAGTGGGCCAAATTGATTGTGAATTTGATGGCTGGTAACTTCATTGCCCAGTCGTGCTGATTGGGAGAGACACATTGTCTTAACATCTGAGTGATCGTCCTGTTGGCCCATTCGGTTGCACTGTCAGTCTGCGGATGGAATGATGTCGACATTCTGAGTTTGGTCCTGGTTAGGTTGTTGAGTTCCTTCCAGAATGTGCTCATGAACAAAGTATCTCTGTCGCTCATGATGTTCGAGGGCATGCCGTGCAGTTTGTATACAATGTTGAATAGGACCTCGGCTATATCTTTTGTGCAGTATGTTCGTTTAGTAGGGGCTAGGTGCACCATTGACGTTAGGTGGTCTATAGCAACTAGCATCATGTTGAAAGTGCCGTGCAGAGTGGTAGATTCAGGCAGAGGGCCTACAAAGTCTATACCGATCGTTTCCCATGGGTGTGTAGGGACTTCCAGGGTCTCTAAGAGCCCATATGGTTGGTGGTTTGTTGGCTTAGATACTTGGCATGTTGCACAGGATTCGCAGAACGCTTGAACATCTGATACAATGTCTTTCCACCACACATTCTCTCTCAGGTACAGTAGTGTTTTTGATGGTCCGAGGTGCGCTAAGATTGAGTGGGCATGTGAGATGATTATCTCACGTATACGGCGTTCATTCAGGCGGATGTCTGGTATACACAGTATTCAATGTCCTTTATCCCTGAGGAAGATCCTACCATTGCTTACTTCGAAGTTTTTGTATGCTCCAGGGTTTTCTAATATCCTGGCAATGAATGGATCATCTCTGTATTGGTTTGTCAAACACTCATGGATGTCGACAGTGGGGTCGCCAAGTGAGATTACTTCAGTTAGTGAGGGTGGTGTCATTAGATCATCCTCGCCACGTGATACATGTGGGTCCATGATTGTTGCAGAGTTGAAGGTTTCTGTTGTCTGATTCATTGGTGCTACCTTGCTACCTGACACCAAGTCAGCTGCTTTTGGTGGTGCTACTGCGCTGTCTGTTCCTGTTCGCTTTGGCAGTGTTGAGGTAGTCTGATCATGGTGAGCCACTCTCCCGCCCTCCAGAGGTTCTGCAGTGGGTTTACCCAGCTTTAGAACCACTTTTTGGACCTTGGAGATCTTGTGGTCTGGCAAGGTTGTGGTACCCCCAGGAGTGGCGCTGGGTGTCGTTGAGACGGTTGTAACATCTTGAGGAACTGCCAGTGAGGGTTCCATAGAAGCAGGTGTGCTGGGTTTGACTGTGTCCAGCAGTGTTAGTTGTGGTGATTGAGCACCTTATGGTGCGAGTTATTTGTGATATGATGTTGCTTTCTCTATTGGACTCTCACTTAGCATGTGATGTGAATTCCTTACTTACTTAGGCAGTGTTTACACTTGTTTACATAGACTCGCCCATAGGTAGCAAGTCCTGTGTTGGTTGCTCTTTAGCAACTGACACTGGACTATAGGTATAGTACACTCATTAGTTTATACAACACAATAGCAACTGACACTGGACTATAGTCCTGTTCACTCTCATTAGCTCACTTGTGGCTTGGTTCACTTGGTTATTCTAACAGGTTATGAG